AGTGTTATCAGCAAATTTACTTATGTTGCTGTCTATGCCGATATCTATGTCGTTTATGTATATAATAAATAATAATGGTCCAAGTACTGAGCCTTGGGGAACTCCACTTGTCACGTTGCTCCAATGGGACTTAATGCCGTTAATGCTCACTCTCTGTTTCCTGTCCTGTAACCACGCCCTAATCCATTTAAGGATGTTACCTTTGATGCCATGAGCTTCTACCTTTCTAATTAGTCTTTCGTAGGGGACTCTGTCGAAGGCTTTGCTAAAGTTGAGATATACCACATCATAATTGTGCCCCTCGGCCCACCGATTCGAAAACTGATGAAAAGAATGTTAATAGATTAGTTAGACATGAACGTCCGCTTGTGAAGCCATGCTGGGAATCATTGATCAATTGGTGCTTCTCCAGGTGATTTCGAATAGAGTTTGAAATGATTGCTTCCAGTAATTTGCCTACTATTGATGTTAGACTGGTAGGGCGGAAGGGAGAGGTATCTTAATATATATTAGGAAAGGAACCAAATTTTACAGTGTTGAACTTGATACTAAGTTTTGTGAATATTGCTGTATAGAAGTGCCATGTAGTAGTGGTAATTTACTATTTACCTCCATTTACAGAAGCCCTAATGATGATGAAAGCAATAATACTAATTTGCTCAACTTGTGGAAGTCAATGATAAATTGTGCTTTATAAAATAATTGTAAGGTGATTTTAATCTTCCTACAAATAAATTAGATAATTATACTTCTGTAATGGGACTGAATGATGTTGGTACCATGATGATGTTCGCCCGAAATCTTGGACTGCTTTCTCTCCTCCCAACATATAAATCACCGGGATAAGAGACAGCACAGGCAATACCCTTGACCTGTTGTTCAGTAGCGAAGAATCTATAGTGGAGATATATCAAGCTGGAGAGTCACTGGAAAGAATGACCATGCCTGTATTATTTCCATTGTGACATATAGGAGATGGAGAAAACAAAAAAGTAAAAAAAAACAAGTGTACATGTAGCAAGAAAAGCAGATTACCTACTGATGAAGCAAAAAGGCTTCGATGGACTGTATCCAATACCCAGCCATTGGAACCAGATGTGAAAGTAAGTGGAATAAGTTTAAAATTCCCAGGCAGTCATTGACAGAGTGTGTCCCTAAGAAGATAATCAGAGGACTGAGGGTTAGCAGAAAAAGAAGAAATGAAAAAAATTACCCATGAACAGGAAGCTCTGGGCTAAAGTAAGAAAAAACAGAGACTGTGGGAGAGGCGAGGAAAATAATGAAAAGCAGAAGTTCATTGAAAGAGCATGCAAGGGAGATGTATCTGGAAACTGAAAAGGGAATACAGGAGATTAAATAACCAGGTCAGATGGGAAACTAGAAACATCTTGACGCAAGAACAAGAGATTGCGAAAAAATGTTAAGGCAAATCCAAAAGTGTTCTGGAAGTATGTACAGACAAAAACAAGAACAAAAGCTAGGAGTGCAGATCTTTACAAGGATGAGAAAAAAGTACAGAGGCTGCTTGAATGATCAGAAAAGGCAGATAATACTCTCAGGCAAAGATTCTCCACGAGTTTTATCAAGGAACCAGATAGGGGATACCAACAGCCAACAAGAAAGAGCGTGCCATCTTCCAGCACCTGGAATAACGAGGTAAAATAGAAAGGTGATTCAAGAAATTGAAAAACATAAGTCTCGGTCCAGATGGGTTACATCAAAGAGTCATTAAGGAGATGATGGAGGAACCACTTCAACCTCTGAGGATCTTGTTTAGCTCTTTTTCAAGAAGGAAATATATCCAGGACTGGCGTGTTACATTATATCACAGCTATCTATAAGAAGAAGTAAGTGAACGAAACTACAAAAAAAGGCCAGTCAGTCCTAACTAAATTGTAATCTGCAAATTAATGAGTCAATAATGCGGGAAGATGATATCCCATATGAAAAATATGGATTGTTTAGTAATAAACAGTTTTGGCTTCATTCCGGCAGGTCAACAGTCCTACAGTTGATTAGGGTACTAGACAGGTGGACGGAAATTTTTCGATGACAGTCAGGCTGTGGACAGTGTATTGTGATGACTTCATGAAGGCTTTTGATAGAGTACCCTGAAAGACTAATAGAAAAGTATCTAGATTATTGCATTGGTAAATATCTTGATTGGGTAAAGATTTTTTTAACTTAGAAAACAGGGTTGTGGTAAATGGAAGTATCTGACTGGAGAGGTCACTAGTGGGGTCCCTCAGGTTCTGTCCTCTGCCCCCCTGCTGTTTATCCTTTTGTCAATGACCTGCCTGGGGCAATTAAACATGACAGTGAGGTATATCTATATCGCGGATGACACAAGATTTTAGGAAAATACAGGTTGAGGATTGTGACATGCTGCAGAAGGACCTGGATAGGATCAGGGGTTGGACTGAGAAGTGGATGCTGAACTTTCACTTAGAAAAAAAAGTAAATACATGAGGGATAGGAAGAAAAAAGTTGCTGACCATGGATATCATATGTACACCATGATCAAGAAGACCACTGTAGAGAAGGATATAGGGGTAGTCGCCGATGATAGCTGACTTTTCTGACCATCTAGCAAGGAAAATCAACAAGGCTAAAAAAGTAGTGGGCATTATTAGAAGAACTTTTTGTTCATCTGGATGCACCTATATTCAAGAGCTCTGTACACTGCTCTGGATTTAGAGCCACACCTTGAGTATGCTAATCCAAATTTGGTGCCCATATCTCATTAAGGATATTGAAGCAGTAGAGAATGTACAGAGGGAGGGCTGCAAATTAGTACCACAGATCAAGGATTTATCTTATGATGAAGACTAAGTAAATTACAGAGATTCTGCCAACACTGGCGTACAGAAGATCTAAGTAGGACCAAGTGGAAACATATACAAGATAGTGTGTGGCATATATGACCAGGCATGTACAGCAGGAATGTTCCAGATGAGGAGGCTGACACTACCGGGGAACACAAGAAGATCTACAAAACAAGAGCGAGGCTAAATCTCCAGACACTAGTTCATGGTAGGGTTGTCAACAACTGGAATGGGTTACCTGAGTGGGTAAAGTGAATGTGGAGATGGTGGAAGAGCTTGAAGCAAAATTAGATAAATACTGGAAAAATCAGCAACAATATGTAATTGCAGGGCTGAAAATATCAAGCACACACAGCCACATTGTGAGTGAGAAAGAGGCTATTGAGCTGGAGTATATGAGTCATTTTATGGTAAAATTGCACTTGCACACCACTCTGTTAGAAAGTCAAAAATATATTTTTCTAGTGTGTATTTGTGTGTGTTTAGACCGAATATGACCTTCATTTCTGGTGTGTGGAAATTAGCCTGGTTTTTTATCGATTTTTTCAGTTGGACGTTTTCCGAAAAAAAATAATGGCTAAGCAACAAGAAATACCCCAAAAAAACACTAGAAAACAAACAAACTTAACCTAACCTAACTGACTCACCATATGATGTAATCACCAATTTCTTACCTTATTGGCCTGGTTCTTGTTCGTGTTGGATTCTGAGATTCTTACGCAATGCCACATATGTTGGTCTTGATGATATTTACATTCAGTCTTGCACTTAGGACACTTTATTGAGGTCAGGAGAACACCATGAGACTAAAAATGCTATAGTTTCTTCATTTTTCCCCCAAACTCGCAATCAGCTCCATATAATTGAAGTGACACCCATCGCAGACTTCCATGGTCGGAAATGAATTTTTATTTCTAATTATGAGCCCCAAAATAAAACTCGAATTTGATTGGGCCCAAAATACCATAAATTAAACCCAAAATCATTTTAATTTGCCCCAAAAAAGAAGCTGTTGATTGGCCGCATGACGGAAATGAAACCGGATGCTGCATGATTTATGAAGGTGTTGGAGGTGAGGTAGGCGATAATGGTGCAAGATTAATGGAAGAAAATAGAAAAAAATTTTATATTTTCTCCATTATTATACATTTTTGCAGGCAATGTAATAGATGAAAATTATCTTATAATTAGACGTCTTATTCGAATGATAATAGATTAGTGGTAGGAATGTGTGGTGTGTAAATGCAATAATACCCAATTTATACTCAGAGTTAATTAAGTTGTTGATCTTTAAAAAAAAAGGGTCAATTTATGTTCGTAGCTAGGTTTCGATTTTTCCATAAAAAAAATAGGCATTATTTTGCCATGACCGGCTAAGTTCCTACTAACGCTATTTTACCGTAAGTGCTGGGTTAATTGTCTCAGGCAAACAACGCAAGAACTATATTTGACTGTGATTCTGGCAGTATTTGGCATTTATTTTGCCGTGAGTTGATCGTTGTGTAGCTATAAATATACCTAACCATATTTCTGTTGTGCATGGAAACTTATCATTATAAAAGAGGCCCAGTATGGGCCAATAGACCCGCTGCAGTTTCCTCCATTCTTATGTTCTTATGTTCTTACTAGAACCTAATAGAACCTGACCTAAGCAACCAAAGAAACCTACCTAACCTTACCTAACTTCCTAGCAGGGGGCAGACCCCCCATCATATTAAACAGAAAGTACAGGCAAACCCCGTTATTCAAAGCCTCGGTATTCATAACCCTGTTTTTCTGCAATCAATATATTGTTACCCATTTCCACTATTCGCAACGGTAGTCCCGTTTATTCGCAAATTCTTACAAGCAAAAATTCTGAACTGTGCACCTCAACCGTAGAAGGCAGCTTGTGTACGTATTCCTCTGCCATATGCTCCCGCTCACCTCAGTCTCACATGTGCTGGCGTGTGCTTTGTGTGATCTCGCATTTGTGTTTTGTGTGATCTCACAATGCCTAAGCGACCAGCTACTAAAACTCTCAGCAATGTTGCCAGAGATCACGTGTGGCAGTTACGTCGGACGTGAAATTGGATATCTTAAAAAGACATGAACACGGAGAACGTCAGTGATTGGCGTTGCTCAAGACTTGGATCCTCTCACTTCATTCTATAGTTAAACGCACCAGCACAGGAGATGGCCGGGTCTGCAACACCACTGACGGCTACGAAGGTGATGAGGTTCCGTGTTGCTGAGATGGAGAGGATGGAGCGAATGTTGAGCACGTGGATTGACGACCAGACCCAGAACCTTAAAACACCTTTCGCAACGCATGATTCAGTGCAAATTGACAGTGATAATGAGAGTGAGGAGGCTGACGACCTTGTCATTGAGGAGAGTGAGGTGGCTGACGACCTTGTCATTGAGAGTGAGGTGGCTGACGACCTTGTCATTGAGGAGAGTGAGGTGGCTGACGACCTTGTCATTGAGGAGAGTGAGGTGGCTGACGACCCCAGCATCCTCTCACCCCAATAAACCTGCACCCTCTCCCATAATGCCAACCCCAGCAAGCAAGCAACACAGCATATCAGAGGTAAATTAACAGTCTGCGTTTAAAACTTACCTCACATACCTGCGCACATAAACGTTCAAACACACACACACTCAAACATGTTAAGTATACTGTACTTGTAAACATATACGCCTAATAAACTCAAAGTGGTTGCTATTGATGATTATTATGCCCTTGTTTTTTAATTTATTTTGTTATATATGTACAGTGACCCTCGTTAAAGAACTCAACCGCTCCAGAAGTTTGTTTGTTAACCGAAAAGCTCATTAACCGAAACCATTGTTTCAATGAGTTTTTGGATAATTGGTTCCAGCTCACCGAAAATTTCCTAAATTCAACAAAAATGGTAGAAAAGTTCACTTACTTTGAGGTGTGTATGTAGAAGGCTCCTGGATGATGATGATGATGATGATGGGATTTAGAATGGGGTGGAGGAGAAGAAGAAGAGAAAGCATTGGGGTGGAAGAGAAGTCCCATGGCGCCTATTTCACCCATAAATTTAGCTCTTGGTGTAATTCAAGATTATTTTCTTTAAATCAACACTGCACTGCATTATATATTGTCAATATGTAAAATATATTTCAAAATGACCAATAATTGCTGTTCACAGAAAGCGTTTAGTTGAAGAGAGTCTCAAGAGATGTTACCTCCAGTGAAAACAGAGACTAACGCCTGTTTGCTGTGTCAAGAGGCTGGATGCTACGATAAACTAGTCACTTTACCTTCAATTATATTCAATAATTGTTAAAATGACTAAAAATTGAATATTAAACTTTTAAAATTATTGAATAGTATAAACTTCTTGATATTTACTAAACTAGTAAGGAATTTAAGCCTCAGAACCGATTAATGTATTGGCGGACTGATACTAAAGCTGGTTGACCGTTCAGTAAGCTGAAAACATGTTGAGGTCGGTTCAGAAGAAATTCGTCAACCGAATTTTTGTTCGTTAACCGAATTGAAGATCCTTATGGAAGGCAGTTCGTTAACCGAGGCGTTCGTTAAACGAGGGGTCACTGTATTGAGTAAAGCAAGTGTAAAAATATGACGTTCGTGACTACCGCAATGCCTGTATCCCCCCTATTTACATTATTTCTTATGGGAGAAATTGCTCCGCTATTAGCAATTTTGATATTCTCAACGAGTTTCATGCCCGTAACCTTTGTGATAAGTGAGGCAACCCTGTACTTAGCCAATCAGAGCGCACTCATGGTAATATAGCATTAGTAGGATCATACTCAGTAACGGCAAACTATCCACTGTATAAAAAATACGCATTACCTATGGTTCTTGTTGTGATTGGAATGAATCTGACATTCGTTTCTGGTGCTAACCTAACTAAAACCTGGCTACTATCCTAAATTTACCCCCAAAAAGTAAAGCTAGTAATACATTAGAACACCAACATGGGAGGAACAACGGGAATAATTTAAGTTAATTTATTTCTCCAGTTATCATCTGTTGGCCAGTGCCACTCAATCTTTTCGCAAGTAATTTTGCATTAATGGGCATAAAATCACGAGCACCTTTGTTGGCACTCAATTTGACTGGCAACTTTACCAAGTACCCGACAGGTATAGGTAGTCAGTAGTAACTCTAGCGGGTCCGTGGTTCCATCCTTCATAGTTTTATAATAGTAGGTAGTAGGCAGCTACCAAACAGGAGGTACTACTGCCTGGGAAGACATTGGAAGCATAATGTTGTCTAATGGTAGACCCTTGCTATTATTATTATTATTATTACTACTACTACTTTTTTTTTTTTTTTTTTTTTTTTAACGTGGCCTCCAGCCTCCCCCAATAGCCACACCTTCGCCACCATTTATTTACCTTAATATTAAATATCCTAATACATAAGAAGCTATCCTATCTGTGTTAAATTAGTTGAGCCGCAGATCTATGCGGCATTCAGTGACTGTAGCCTCATAGTCAATATCTGCAGCAGTTGTCGGAGTAGGGGCAGAAGCTCTCGTTCCCCTGAGGCAGAGCAAAGCCGACCGAAGGAGAGAGAAGGACAGTCGACATCTCATCCAGGCTGTAACATAACTTCTGGGCTGCTGCTTCTGTTCGGAGATCAACTCCGCGAGTCTGGCGTAGAAACATCTTGCACTTGGGCCCATCCCACCAGAGGTTGTGAACACTAGAGGAGTGAAGCTGCCTTGATCAACATTTTGAATTCTCTCCCCATATGCCCTTCTCTTGTCGTTCTCGTTCCTCCTATGTGCAGCATCGAGAGCTAGGTTACGGTGACAAGCGGCCATGGGATCAAAAATCCTGATGTCGAAGAAAGCTCGCTGTCCCCACGTCCAGAATCCTCGAGCACTGATGTCCACACGGGCTTCGTTAGATGTGTTTGAAGTCCTGTGTTGGAAGATCTCGCCATCCAGTGGAAGGAGGGTCGGTTCTACCATGACGTCCCGGCAGATTTCCTTCAATATATTTGCTGTGAGATCCCTTACCTCGTCATGCCTCATGCATATGAAGCCTCCCTTCTTGCAGACCATGGCGTGATCGCCATCATAGGAAGAGCCACACACGCATTGGGAGGGCAAACCATCTACTGGCCAACCGTACCTTAGAGCAATGGCATCTGTAAATTCTTGTTTGTTAAGGCTGAAACCATTTGCCCTTATCGGTAACGTAGTTAACCAGTTCGAGGCGCCCACCTCCTGCACTATAGCTACTTTTTTTGTCAAATTTTCTGGAACCTGCAGCAATAGTTGCTGCAACATGTCATTTTGGCAGTGCTGCCGATCTGTTGTAATGGACCTACGGATCTTATTTACTTCGCTGGTGTCCACTTCCCCTGTTGCATTCTGGGCTATTATGTGGTCAGTGAGGGCTGCCGTGAGCTTAAGTGAATATTGATGTTCAGTGTCAGCAATCTCCTCTGGATTAGTTAGTCCCATCCCTCCCAGTCTTGGTGGAAGTGCAAGAAGTGTTCTTTCTGCTGGGGTTAAGTCAGGGTGTTTCACTAGTTTGGGAATGAACTTGACACTGATAGCTTCTTCCAGAGGGTGGAGGAGGGGTCCGATCTCAGGGATGGTACGCATCAGGTAGTTCCAGCGATGCTTGACTCCATGGGTGAATGCTGCAAAGGCCGCATGTGGCTCTGTGTTAGCAATCTCAGATAGAGCTTGGATTTCGCTAACCCACTCATTCACCTTTCCCACTACGTACTTGGTCTTGAAGTCCGTAGTGCCAATTACTGCGCCTAGATGTCTTTGGCCGTCCTTAGTTATTTTGACTTCACTTCCGCCAAAAACCTCCAATGCCCGTTCATAATGTTCTGGCTTCGCGATGAGGAAGGACTTGCTGGCGTTTGGGTGGTACCCTATTTGTGGACCTCGCGATGTTACCAGGTCCCACCACTTTTTGATGCACTCCACTTTTCCTGCTCCTGTAAGGTCGTCAGCATATGCCACTTGTTTGACCCCAGTTGTTTCAAATTTTATTTCTTGTTGGAGCACTGATAGGCCAATTGCATACATTGCCATTGCAACGGGGTCCCCCTGTGTTGTTCCCTCGGTCGACTGTAGGATGGTATCACCTCGTAGAGCCTTGTTGTTTACTATGTAGAGGTCTGAAGGATTCCTATACGAATTTTCAACACACATCGCAAAGCTAGGACACTTGATCTTGATGTTGTGCAGTGAGCCTTGCGGTTAAGTATGTTGAATGCGTTTGAAGCATCCACCAGGAGAACGGCCTCACAATCACGCTGCTCAAATATCAATCTCATGGCGTGAATGGCTGCCTCCCCACCAGCTTGTTGGCCTGCACAAACTTGTAGGTTCCCTGCTGCTGCCCTGACATCGTCCTTTAACACCTCTATTATGCACTTTCCGATGATCCGCCTCAGCACTTCCCCCACCCTTATAGGTCTACATCCTGGTTTATTTTCCAGAGGAATAAGGCGGCAGGCCGTCAGGGCCTGGAGGTGATGGCAGCAAGAGGATGCAAGCTTTCTTGCAAGGGCGGCAATGGCAGTGCAGAGATCGCTTGCTACAGGGCCAAACTTGTTTGTGCTGAGGATGACTCTCCAACCATTTGCATCCAGACCTGAAGGGCCGGCTCCTCCTCGAGTCTTCAGTGCCTTTTTCCACACCATCTCTCCTGTTATTTTCTCGAACAGGACAGCATTTGGTGGGATATAGGCACCCTGGAACCTGATGCCTTCATCTTCGCTTGCAGGGGGATGTTTCGCTTTCAATAGTTTTAATGTCTCTCTGTTTATTGGCATCACCCCACCGGAGGATTCCTGTGTGAGAGATCTTACCGCGAGAGACACTTTTCCCACACGCATTTTGTTTCCAAATTTTCTTGCCACGTCATCGGTGTTTTGCTTTCCGTCACCCGTAAATTTTAGTCTCTCCTGCAGTGTTCTTGCTTCACATAGGAGATCATCTATGGCCCCAGTCTGCCACATTGTCAATCTTCTCTTATTGCTGCCACATTTTCTTTGTGCTTAGCCTTTGTGTGTGTCCTCTGACAAAATAGATGTGGTATTATTGCCAGTATTTGAAGAGCTAGGGGGGCGAGGAAGCGGTCCTGAGTGTAATCAGTCATGAAGCGAGTCATCTCCCGAATCATTTCTTTGGTGGCCGCACACTTGGGTGGTTCAAATATGTTAGCGGGCGACCACTTGACAATTTCTGGGTAGGTTTCTTTGACCCATACGTCTGCATTTTCCATCGACATGCCATTCCACTGAGGTGGCTGTCTCTCATTCTCCTCGTGGACACCTGCTACTAAGGGAGCAGCATTTATTAGTACTACATTTTCGGGTTGAGTAGACTCACTGCTATCATTTCGGATATCATCGGGTAGTTGGGTCCCGGCGATATCCACTGTGGCCACCTGTGTCGGCTCCCTGCGATGTGGGTTCCGACACTGGTCTAGCTTCCTGCAATCCACACATGGTCGGTTGTTTCTCGCACAAACACCATTTGTGCAGTTTTGGTTCGGGCTAGCACAGACGCAGCAAAGAATGTTACCAGGCATAGTGAACAGCACCTTGGGCGATGGTAACGTCCGCCTCCGAACATCTGATTTAGTCCCAGGCACAAGATTATACTGGTTCTTATGAGGGAAGGGCGGAGAGGTGACAGGCTGGACTGCTGTGTCCAGGTAGTAGGGGCATACGTGCACGCGTGGGTGTGTAGGCTACCCCCTCTTATAGCGACCATCCATACATCAGAATGATACACTATGGACAAGAGTTTGTCACACCAGGCACTTGTTTATATATCCTTGGCACAAATAACCACTATTTATATGGTCTCACTGGTGTAATATCAGTTATGTATAGTCACTTGGTTTGTCGAGACCCTACATGGGCAGCACTCTCGGCCCCATAGGGGCGATAGTCTCGGGACCACCCCTGTCAAAGTAGGCCTAACGACACTGACCTTGGCGCCGAGCCTCCTCATTATCCCTCCACCGACCCAGCACAGGTCACCACTCACTTGGAGAACGCCGGTGAACACACGGAATATTTACAATTTATGCCGTAAGGGATGAGAAGAAACCTTGGGTGGCAATGCTTAGGGTGACATCCGATATTCACGGACACATTGTCAAATTCCCGCTCCCACACAGCTAGTATGTCCCCACCAATAACACTTTAGATCAGGAGGGACTGTCCACGACACCCACGCCACGCTGGCCGCCGCCTACTACTACTACTACCACAAGGTACTACTTTTTTTTTTGTGGCCTCCAGCCTCCCCCAATAGCCACACCTTCGCCACCATTTTATTACCTTAATATTAAGTATCCTCATACATAAGTAGCTATCCTAGCTGTGTTGAATTAGTTGAGTCGCAGGTCTATGCGGCATTCAGTGACTGTAGCCTCATAGTCAATATCTGCAGCTGCTACTATTACTACTACAGGTTGTACCTTTCTAGTCCGGCATTCTGTGGTCCGGAAACTCCCGTGGTCCGGAGCGATTTTAGTTTGTCCAATAGGTAGATAGGCAGCTTTTTTTTTATTTTTTTATTTTTTATTTTTTTTTTTACTTATCTGAATTGTTATTATTATTATTACAGGAGTATTAAATTTTTGCTGATCAGGCCCCAATGTGGGTCAGTGACCTATGCCCGGGTGGGCTAATCCCCTTAAAAAACAACAACAATAAAGCCGTGGGAAATTAAGGTTTGTTTACATCCGGCAGTTTGGCTGCTCTCCCTCTCTCTGCTTGTCTATACAGAGTACAACATGAGCAGTAAATAAGTGTTGCTTTCATATTCTTATGTAGAGTAATGACGATATGTTTTCACATGTATGCACTTACATCCGTGCAGTCTCACTTTTTTTTACCATTAATAGTTAGCTACTGTACTTATATTGTTCCATTTATTAACATTAAATAACATTACAGGTACTTCAAACAACCTTATTAATTTTTTTTTACATTAATTTTGCTACAGCTACAATCAGGGTCTTATTTTCTTCAGTTTTATATGTAGAACCAATCAGTCATTGGTTTTGTAGCTTTAACATAAACAATGCCGGCAGCCGACTCGTCTCATTGTGTGTTTTCATATTCCACGTATTATTAATAGATTGTATTGCTAATTTTGCCCACACAAACATTAATTCAATAAAAACAAATTCAGAAACATTAATTAAACTATATATGATCAGTAAATAAGTGTTGCTTTCATATTCTTATGTAAAGTAATGACGATATGTTTTCACGTGTGCGCACTTACATACGCGATCTCTCTTTTTTCTTTACCATTATCGTTTGCTACTTCTGTTGTTCCATTTATTAACATTAAATAACATTACTTAAAGCAACTACATTAATTTTACTACAGCTACAACCAAAGTCTTATTTTCTTCAGTTTTATATGTAGAACCAGTCAGTCACTGGTTTTGTAATCAACGAAAACAATGCTGTGTCATTTCCTTGTGTGTTTTAATATTCTACGTATTATTAATGAATTGTATTGCTCATTTTGCACACATAAACATTAATTCAATAAAAAAGACATTCAGTAATAAACAATAATGAATCTTTTGTACATTAGAGAAATGACGCTGTTTCCACGATTATGCACGTCGTCTGCACGTTGGCGGGCCGTTCAAACCCGTCGAAAGTCAAGTTTCCGCCGTCAAAATTTTTATTAATTTTTTTGTGTGTTCCAATAAAATACCTTGAATTAAAAACTGGCGAAATTTGAGAAGCTACTATACGACATTTATCCCTTCAATATGTCTTCAAAGAGACCATGATGCAGAGAAAGTGGTGCTAGTGCTTCTAAGTATAAGCACAAGTCACTATCTATCCAGGAAAAGGGTGAATTTCCATGGTCCGGCACCGGTCAGGTCCCGAAGTTGCCGGACTAGAGAAGTACAACCTGTACTACTTTTTTTTTTTTTTTAAACGTGCCCAGCCTCCCCCAACAGTCACACCTTCGCCGCCATTTTATTACCTTAATATTAAATATCCTAATACTTATGTAGCTACTACTACTACTACTACATTTTCGCCCCCCAGGCCCTGATTTGGGGTTAGTGACCTGTGCCCGGGTGGGCTGATCCCCATTTAAAAAAAAAAAAAAAACTTCCTAACCTAAATCATAAAATTTAAGTAGGTTAGGTTAACTTAGTTAGGTTAGTTTGGTTCATTTGATTAATGAAAAACTATATAATGTAGTAGTACTGTACCATCAACAACGGTACTCTCATTAAATACAAGACTAATTTCTCCAAAATCAGTCACTTTAAATAATGTTTTCCAAAAGCTCATTCTTGAAGTAAATGAGATTTGCATTGAGAAGCTAACAAGAGCGGCTGCAAGAGACCAGAGACCATGCAGTACAGCATTGTGAACTGGCATCAAGTACTGTAAAAGCAACTAACCCTCACTTATGTGGAAAATGGTCATACAAACTAAAGTAGGTGGTAATGAAGGTTAATGAAGTGTGCCTTTATGTTAAATATTCAATTTACCATCATATACAGTACAGTGCAACTTAGTACAGTACTTTATTTTATAATATAGTACAGTACTGTACTATTGTATAATACAGTGCAGTTTTTTCCCATCATTCTTTTGGTAAAGTACAATACCCATTCCCCATCTCACTTATTCACATGCAACATATAAACTTGTTGTACAAATTACCATACTAACTCTCTTTAAAAAACTGCTCTAATAATGTTGTGTATCATCAGGGTTGTCTAGAGCTCCTGTGGGCTGGTGCACTGTTTCCCCACAAGAACAAGAGAAGTGCAATGCATTATCACAGGTCATCAAGAGAGATTCCAGCGAATTCATACATACGTTTACCAACCTAGAATGTGTACAGGTAGGTACAGTAGAATAAAATTTTACCTTCATGTTTAAATATACTAAAGTCATCCCAAAGCATTCAGGAAATTGCAATAGATGTTACTTTTAGGGTTGGGTATATATTACTTGAGTCTAGATTTGTTAAAGATTATTTTTTGTTTTTTGAGAGTACAGTACAGTTCAATATACAGTACAATAATGGTTTTCCCTCATTATTTGGAATTAAAAAAAGAGGCATACCGGGTACGTACAGTACAAGTAGAGTACAGTACAGTATATGTAATTGGAGGAATTAATTACAATGTGAGTGTGAGGGAAACAGTGCATAACATGATATTTATGTTGTTGGTATGTGGGGCAGCGGAGCAACCACGACGAGTGCATGTTGATGGTGGACGATGGCTTAGCAGACCTGGTTGTGCTGGACCCAAATGAGATCTTCATTGCTGGTCGCTACCACTCACTTGTACCCATCATGAAGGAGTCCTATGAAAGTAAGTGTTAGTGAGAGGCTCCTACACTGCTTCCTTTCTTTGGTTTGTTCAACACTTAGGGGAGGATACATACAGTAGTACAATAACTAGTTTAAAGATTATTTATGTTTCTGGAGAGGAAGATACTGCACTGTACCACCACCAAGAGGCTACTTTGGGCTGAGGACTGAAAACAATGCCATAATTGGAAAGAGGTAAGTACAGTCTCTCCTCGACTTACGGCGGGGTTCCTTCCCGACGACCAGGTCGTAAGTCGAAAAGGCGGAAATAATACATAGAAATTACACAATGGTGTCTCTTTTTCTTCTCAGCACCACGAGAACTCTCACTTTTACGCTTGCCAGCCATTTTAAAGGGAATTACAAACGAAAATTTTATCAGTACACAGCACGATCACTAACGTCTGTACTAGAAAATACGTAATTTGAAAAATATTTTATACGACCACGGCGGTCGTATGTCCGGGTTGTCGTAAGTCGAGTATGTCGTAAGTCAAGGAGTACCTGTAGTTAAATTTCAGGATAGTGAAGTTATCTACAGTATAGTACAGAATCCAATACGCAGCATTATCTAGATACAGTCCCATTTTATAACTAAATTCAAAGCCACATGACTTACGTTAATGCTTTAAGTAAGTTTTTCGGTAAGAGGCTGAACATTGCTGTATATGTTGGTAACTAATCTGCACCTGCCTTTGTGGTCATCAACCTGAAAAGTAACAGTTACTGTACTGTACTATGTGGAGTAAGAAGCTGGTGTTACAGTGTGCCACACAGGTCAGCTGTCAGGTTAGTCAAATTGGAAACTCCGGTCATCCTGTTCAGTGAGCACTGCCTGGCCACACTCCACCAGTAAAATGTATTTCAGGATCAGTCAACTGAAATAACTTAATTTTGTAGATTATTCTAATTTCCATTCAGGTGAGCTATCTATCAGTCCTTATACCAGGACTCTGACCATATACACACTGTTCACTGCTGTATAATACTGTACATACATCAACTGAATGCATAATGTGTTGGGCTCATGAAAGATGGCCAAGAGAAACGGCATGCTGATTGTCTTAAGACCATTAGAAAAGATTTGAAAAGTGCCATGGGTTAACTTGAACAATTTATTGTGATGTATGAGCCTGATGTTATGGCTTAAAACTACACCTTGCCTGCCTTTGTGGTGCAGCAGAATACTGTACTGTACTGTACCCACAGTTCTGGGTCTTGGTAAATGTGGGGTTGATAGAAGGTCATGGGAAGGCTTTGGCATATTAACTTGAGTGTGAAGTGTTGTCGAAGACATTGTTTAATACACTAGCTACATCATACTGAACCCCATATGAGGATATACAGGTGCTCCCCGACTTACGACAGGGTTAGGGACCCAAATCCAGGTTGTAAGTCGGAATGGTCGTAAGTCTGACAGATTAAAAAAAAATTAATAAATAAAAAAATAAAAAAAAAATAAAAAGAATCTACAATGAAATACAGTACAGTAAAAGTAATAAATAATGAGGAATGGATAAAGTACAGTAAAAGTAATAAATAATGAGGAATGGATACAGTGTGACTGAGCACTTACCTTTAATGTAGTCAGCTGAATGCACACGGGACCCCCATAATTTTCTATTTACAGGTATACATGGAGACTATATAAATTGGATGAAGCAGAGGAGGAGACAGGACTGGGTGGGTCATCAGTGTTGCTTTCTTCAGACAGGTTTATGTACTGTGGAAACTTGCTGGTTGAAGGTATTGGATCATCTTGAGGGAGTGAAGAGGCAGCAATGGTGGGGTGTGAGGAGACAGGACTGGGGGACTTCTTGAAATAGATGTCCAATTTAGCCTGCACAGTTTGCTTTTTCTTTTCATTATAAATTTCTCTGTAGCAAGCAAGTGCATCTTGGATCATTCTGTCAACTTTGGCATAACGCTCATAATTTGATCCATGCCATCAAACATTTGCATCCCTTTATTAATTATAGCAAATGCCTCTGCCATTTGCTTCACTGAAAACTTTTTGGGGGGTGCAGGTCCTTCTTCTACATTTAGACTGGCTTCTTCCTCTGCATCTTTGTGTGCTTCCAGTTCGATGAGATCTTCGTTACTGAGCTCTTTGCTACACTTTCAACCAACTGTTCAACATCTTCATTATCAATTTCTAACTGAAGCTGTTTACCTAACTCCACTATCTTGTTACTAATATCCGAAATATCTTCATTTTCATTAAATCCTCTAAAACTGTTCACATATCTTTTCAGGACTTTCTTCTATATTCCATTCATGCAATGTTTTGTAACCTGATCCCATGCTGCACTAATGTTCTTTATACATGACAAAACGTTGTACTCCTTCCAAAACTCTCTGAGCGTTTTCTTACCTTCAGTAGCAGCAACAGCCTGAGCGAAGGTCGTACGTAAATAATACACTTTAAAGGCAGCAATAGCACCTTGATCCATGGGTTGGATGACAGAGGTAGTGTTAGGTGGAATGTACACTACCTTAACATCAGGGTGCATGTCGGCCAGGTGTGGTGGGTGTCCAGGAGCATTATCCAAAATCAGCAAAATCATGAATGGAATCCGTTGTTGCAGACAATACTCCTTGACTCGAGGAATGAAACAATTCATAAACCAATCCTCAAACAGTACAATGGTCATCCAGGCTTTCTTGTTACTGCCATAAAACACTGGCAGTGTGTGCTTGCTGACATGTTTAAAAGCCCTGGGGTTCCCTGAATGATAGATCATGAAGGGCTTTAGCTTGAAACCAGCAACATTCCCCCCAACAGAAGTGTAATTCTGTCCTTGAATCCTGGCATTGTGTTCGCCTCTTTGTGGATGTATGTCCGCTCAGGCATGCGCTTCCACAATAATCCAGTCTCATCTACATTGAATATTTGCTCAGGCAAATAATTCCCTTCCACAATCAAATCATGTAACTCCTCCTTAAAAGCTTCGGCAGCACCAACATCAGCACTAGCTGCCTCTCCACTCACCTTAACATTGTGTAAACTGGAGCATTTTTTAAATCTGTTAAACCACCCATGACTTGCTGTAAAGGTTTGCTCACATTCATCTCCTGCCTGCTCCTTCAGGCTTTGGAACAGGCTTCTTGCTTTAGCCTGTAAGGTTAGAAGGCTTAAGGGTACACGCTTCTGTATCTGGTCTTCTATCCATATCACCAATAATTTTTCCATATCGTGAATAGGACCTTGTCTTTTCTTCGAAATTATAGTTCCCTTTATAGGTGTTGTTCCTTTTACTACAGCATGAATACATTCCTTGTCCTTCAGAATAGTGGATATGGTCGAGTGCGAGAAACCTAGGTCGCGTGAGATTGTTGCTACAATTTTTCCATTCTCATATTGCATTATTATCTTCATTTCCATCTCAAAAGTAATTGCCTGTCTCCTTTTCTTCTGAGCACCACCAGCACTCTCACTTGTACGCTTTCCAGTCATTATAAAGTCAATTAAATACGATAATAACGTAAGTACACAGTATAGGATACGATAGCCAAACACCAACTAAGCGCTCTACTGAGTGAATGTACCCACGCGGTGACCCAAGCCACACTCTCGTCTAGGACGGAAACGTTTCGGTATAGAAAATGCACGTGTAATTTGAAAAATTTTTGGGTCATGACTGCGGCGGGTCATATGTGCGGACGGTCATACAGTCCGAGCAGGTCATAAGTGCGGATAGACGTAAGTTGAGTCAGTCGTAAGTCGGGGACTACCTGCATTATGGATTGTTATTACTAAATTTTATACTGTATTTAGGTCTTAGTATGGGGAACGGAGTTAAGGATGGTGGAGATGAACCAATACTGATAATACAACCACATCTCTCACTCTAGCAAGATAAGGGAAAATTTCAAGGAAAAATATGTTTCTCAAAAAGTTACAGACCAGTATATGTGAGTTACAGTTCTGGTGGTCTGGTGGTATGAGTAATATTGCAAGTATGTGTTACTTACAGTCAATGGTAAATTAAAGTTCTAGCTGTGTACGTTATGGTGCTGGTTGTTGAAGTCACAGTACAGGTTGGTAAGTGGAGTAGAGAATGTAGCAATTGGCATAAGTGATATGCTGACAATTTGGCCTTGTGTCTTTCAGATGGCCTCAAATTCTACTACTCGGTGGCTGTGGTACACAAAGGCAACCTGACGTCAGTGAGAAGTTTAGCAGATCTGGCCGGCACTGTTGCCTGTTTCCCATCTGTGGCATCCATGGGTGGCTGGGTTATACCTATCTCTGAGGTGAGTGGCAGTAACTCTTAATTCTTCACTGCTATTTTATATCTTCTCCATCAAAATATTGTTCATCAAACATTCTACATGCCCATACTATCTTAGTGTACTTTTATTAATTTGTCTACTTTATTGAGGAGTTTGTTAGACCACACATATCTCATTTATTCATTCTTTACTCAGGCCTTTTTCTCTGTATTATAATACTGTATTGTAAAAGTTGTTGAATGTAGTCCCCTTCACTATTGTGTTTACAGGGACTCGTCAGGTTTTGTGCAGTGTGGCAGCGCTGTGTTTGTTTACATTCGATAGAAGGAAACTCACAATAGTAAACATACTATGGAATCAAAGTACAACAACTTTGAAACAAATATCTCAGTGTATTGATTTGTGGAATGTTTATATGACGAGCTCCTGTAAATGCACTAGTAAAGGGGACTGTACATGCTATAACTAGAAGCTTAAAAATGTTCTTCCAACCAGGTGTATAAATAGGTGTTCTTTCAGTCAAGTCAAGTCCTTTTATTGTTTCTGTCCACCATGATCACAGGGAACCTCCCTCTTACCTACACTCCTTCTGTATTGTTAAACTTGTTGAATATACACTTCATATATTGGATTATTTGATATATTGGACCAAATTACCAATTCCAATTTCTCTGTTCAAATTATCGTTAATCAGAGTACCTGTATAACTGACAATTACATGTATACTGTATTTCAGTTAATCAGATCTCAAGCCATGAAGATTGTTGACTGTAACAACCACATCAAATCAGCATCTGAATTTTTCAGTGGTGGTTGTGCTGTAAACATCCTCTCTGATAAATACAATCCCCTGGGTGAGTAGTACTGAGCGTTTAGGTTTTAGTGGTTTATTAATTCAATCCCACAAACTGAACTCACACTTGGACTTTGCTATGTTACAGTATGCGCAGTGCAGTAATTTATACTAGCTCAAATATTTGGTACAGTATACAGTGGTCCCTCGATTAACGAACACAATTGGTTCCACAGAGTCATTCATTAACCGAAAATTTCGTTAACCGAATCTATTATTTCAATGGGATATTGGGTAATTGGTTCCAACTCACAGAAAAAGTACATACAAAGTACTGTATACCAGTAATAGAATTAACAAAACATTAAATATAAACTAAATACAGTACTGTACCGTACAGTATACTGTACAATATCACTGTGAATACGCGCCGTTCCTCTACTACATGATCCGCATTCCGCGTTCCACATTCGCGGTGCCTGCGGATATCCATTCATGATTTTCTGTGAGCGTGGCGAAAACGGCGCCATTTTACAGATCAAACCTCCGCCATCCGCCATATTTATGCCAGCAAGCTGCGCGCGAACATAGATGCGCCTAAAATCGCCCAGTCATCAATACCAGTTCTTCCACCCATACCCCACAGCCCATTTAAGTCAGAGTGTGTGTGGGATGTGGGAGTTTGACAAGGCCCACAAGCCTCTGTGGTGGATAGTGTCATTAATGACACAGGTGATGTGTCCTCTGCCTCGGAATGGCTTTATCCCACGTGTGTCAGCATTTTTCTGCTAATGCTAAGTGTTAAAAAACTCAATATTATTGATATTTCTCTTAATTATTAATTGTGTGTGCATACTATATACAAGACAGATAATATTTTTACTACAACATAGTTGTGTGTCGTCAAAAAGTGGAGTTTGGGGATCGGCCCGGACTCCATTTCAATTAATCCCATATGTTATGTTATTCACTTTACGCGTTTCTCACTTTACGCGGGACCCTCCGGGTTACATTAACCGCGTAAAGTGAGGGTTAACTGTATTAACTTACTTTGAGATGTGTATGTCATAATACCGGCAGCTTTGCTTACACATTAAACAGCTGATTGTAGAAGCAGTCGATGATGCCTTCTTCATGTTTCATAATAATTTCTGCATTGTATATTGTCAATATGTGAAAAAAATTTCAAAATGACCAATAATTTTAATGTAAAAATGCAAAAATATTCAAGAGACCAGCAAACTGGATGTTCACTTCACTGTAATAAACAAAGTTAAACTGAGAAGCGTTGGTGGGTGATTCTATCAGCTGATTGGCACACAAAGACTGTTCTCTGTACAGTACAGGTATATATTATCAATATGTTAACTAAATTAGAATGACCAATCATTTTAATATAAAAAATGCAAAAATATTCAAGAGACCAGCTTTCTTGATACTGGTATTTACTCTACTGTAAACGAATGTAAACATAGACCCAATTACTGTATTGGCGGACTAGCCGATCAGCTGATGTGCACAACAAAGCGTGTTTGTCATAAGGCTTTCTTTAATCGAAGTTTTGTTTGTTAATGGAATTGAAAATCCTTACGGGAGCTAATTCATTAACTGAAATTTCGTTAATTGGATCGTTCGTTAATCGAGGGACAACTGTACTGTATCTCTTTATTTTTTTACGGACCCATTCTCTGTGTGCCTGAATTCTGACTAAGTGGCCTCCATATATGCTGGAGCTTACCAAAAACATAATACAGTCGGCCCTTAACATACGCGGGGGTGTTAGGTAACAGATATTAAAATACGTATGTACATCCCCCAAAAAACACCTCCCCCATGTCTGTATACGTGCTGTGTGTAGTTTGAGTTTTTAAGACCAAATTATTTGGCAAAAAATTGGGGGTCGACCTCTAAATGGGTAATAGTTTCGTTAGGTTGAAAAATATTTACCAGTAACTACCAGTAAACAATGGAAACGACGCACCAACGCACCACCAGCTGTGAGTGTCGGTACAGTTGCCAGGGCAGATCTCTTGCGTCATCATAGCAAGCCCAAAGTAGCCAAATGCATGGTATGGTATGCATAGTTCGATGTAAAACATAAAGTATTCATTTTTAAAAGTTTATTTATAGATACTGTACATAAATTTTTGTTCATTACATTTGAAACATCAATCTTTGTTAATTAAATTTGAAACAAAAGAAAACTACGATACCGTATTTTCATTAAAATATTATATCACAAGTATATTTTACCTTGACTGTGACTGAATGAATATATTCTCAGAAATAAATATGGAAATGTAATATTTTGGCTGAAATGACGTACGTATTACAGTAGAAAGTGGGATAAAATTGTGACGAAAGCAATGACTTTCGCTTTCTTTCGTTGTTCAAAAGATTTTACCGTAATTGCTTTTCGAATGGTTTTCAGTTAAAAAACTGTTGTACTGTATTACAATAATATTCTATCCTATCATTAGCCTCATAATCCCACAACTGAAAACCATTTGAGAAGCGATTACGGTAACATCTTTTGAACGAAAGAAAGCGAAAGTCATTGCTTTCGTCACAATTTTATCCCACTTTCCACTGTAATACGTACGTACATCATTTCAGCAAAAATATTACATTTCCATATTCTCAGAAATAAATAGTAGTTTTGTTGAAACGTAATGTACAGTATTTAATATTAAAATGCAAAAAGAGCTATAAAAACAATTAATACAGTACACCCATAATGTACTGGCTGGCATCTCCACTCGTCACCACTCCTCCCCGCTCTATCCCACTGCCTCCTCCACATCGCCACTACTGTTGTATTTTAATAATATTCTATCCTAATTCACTTGAATAAATACTACGATACCATATTTCTGAATATTTTCATTAAAATCCATCAAAATCATTTTCCTTGTCATCGTTTTCAGCACCAAACAGCTCCCCCCAGTCTTCTCCTTGAACAAGGCTAGAGGGTATGTGTTTTTCGAATCGTTTTCAGTTAAAAAAATGTTACAGCACATGTATATTTTACCTAAACTGCGCCTGAATGAATATATTCTCAGAAATAAATAGTAGTTTTGGTGAAACGTGATGTATTTCAATGTAAAATAGGATAAAATACATGACAAAAACAAAAGACTTTACCTAACCTTCCGATGTTACTCGTTTTTTTAATAGTTTTCGGTTAAAATTCTGTTATATTACAATGATATTCTATTCATACTGTGCTTTAGGGGGCAGTGAAATTTTGCTCAAAGCTGCACTCTTCAGGCATTGTTCCTTATACATATCTAAGACTCCATGCCAAATTTGAAGCTGATATGTCGAGGTTTAGTCTGCCGCATTTTCTACTGAAATTTTTAAATTTACCTACAGTACTAGCCAAACAGCCTCTGTGGCGGTGCAATGTTCTGTTCAGTGTTTATCAACTTTTTTTTCATATCTCTTATTTCATTTAAGTTGTCTTGTTGCAGATGAGTATGGTGTTATGTCTATATTGATTATCAGCCTTTTCTCATTTCATTTCTCAATGTTGTGTTACTGTACTGTAATGTAGGGGAGACCTGGGTAAGTTGGCGCTTGTGACCGATACTTGATTAGTGATTATGCTGGAGCTGCCATTGCTACTGCCACCTTAACTGACTATGGCATTATCACAAAGGATGACAAGAGTCAGGTTATTGGACCACATAAGCTGCGGGATGCGAGACAAAAATACCGATTTAAGAGGCAAGAAATTGAGATGGCTAGTTTAGATAATTTGACGTCACTCTATTTTGATGGTAAGAAGACCGCCACTCGTGTGATGATAAAGAATGAGAAGACCGAGAAATGGAGTTCGAGGATGATGGTGAAAGATCATTATGTCATCATGGTTGAGCCTGGCAATGAATATCTCACACATGTGACTCCCAAGACTGGACACGGAAAGCAGATTGCCAAAACTATTCACGAGTTTCTGGTGGAGAAAAATCTAACCCAGCAGCCCATTGTGTGTGTTGGTTGTGATGGAACCAATGTAAATGTAGGATCAGAAAATGGAGTCATTCATCATCTTGAAATGTTACTTGGTCACCCGCTCCATTATTTCATATGTCAGCTTCACGGAAATGAGCTGCCTTTCCGCGCAGTTTTTTATCACTATGATGGTAAACCAAGTGGTCCTGAGCATTGGCGTGGTCCCATTGGAAAGCAGATCAAGGAGTCTTTGTCTGAGCTTCCAGTTGTCGCCTTCCAGCCAGTCAGTTTCCCTGATTTCCCTGTGTTTAATGATGAAGTGGAGAAAGATCTGTCCTGGGATCAGAAATACCTGTATAGGATTTGTAAAGGAGTTATCACAGGTGTTGTTGAAGATGACTTGGCTGCTATTGAGCCAGGTCCTCCCTGTGTGTCAAGGTGGAACACCTTATGGAGTAGAATCCTCAGGCTGTATGTAGCAACATCAAGACCCAGCCATGAGTTGAAAAGAATTGTCATTACAATAATAAAGTTCAGTGCTCCAATGTGGTTTTACATCAAGATACACCCTTACGTAACACACGGCTCAAGGAACGTATTCCAGTCCCTGCTATATATGAAACACCTGAATAGTGAGGAGGAGACGATAGTGAAGAAGGCTGTCCAGAGAAATGCATACTTCGCCCACACAGATCAACTTCTTCTTGGTATGTGTGCAGATGAGGACATGACTGTTAGAGAAAAAGCTGTCTCAATGATAAGAAAAATTAGAGAGGAGAATCAGCAAAAGGAAGAATGCACTGGCAGATCTGAAGAGGAGGAGGAAGATTCTGATGCTGCTGTTGACGAGAATTTGTTAAACTATACTGATGAAGAGGGTAAAGATGGAGATGGGAATGACGATGTGCCTCCTGTAGTCAACATGAGAAAGGTGGTGACTCCGAAACTAAAGTGGCAAGCAAAAAACTATCATTCCATGATTAACTGGATGAATGAACTCAAGACTGAGCCTCCTTACATTGCTTCTCTGTCAAATCTACAGGTTAATGACATTCTTGAGACACCATTAGTGGTGCCCAAGTGGCCAAACAGCACTCAGGCGGTCGAGAGAGGCATAAAAGTGATGACTGAAGCTTGCACTGAAGTGACGGGATACGAATCGAGAGATGGATATATTAGGCAAAGATTATGTCTAGGAAAATGATGCCAAGGTTCCGCACAAAAAAGAATTTCAATATGAACTTGTAATGATTTTCTATACGGTGTACAGGTAGTTCTGCTATAACACGATAATTGTGTTCTTGTAAAATATCGTGTTATAGAAAATCGCGTAATAGAAATAACAGGGCTTATGGAGAAAATAGGGTTAGGTGCAGATTACTCGAAATCGAAAAAATTTCGTAGTTAGCCTAACACAAAGGATAGCACAGTCTAAATAAATGTTACATTCATATCTAATAATGAAATCATACAGTAAATGTAACACTTTACCCTGAAAAAATATGAATGTAACTTGATGGGGGAGAAGGGTGATTTTGAGGTTGATAAAATCGAGCTTCTCTTCAAGTGTTATATCCTTTCTTTTACGATCATCACCGGGAATTCTATCACCAGAACGCTTCTTGGAGACATTCTTCTTTACCATATTCACAGTTAATACCACAAAATTGGAGAAATAGTAAGCAAAAATCGCGTTATAGCAAACAAGCGTTCGCGTTATACAAATATCGTTCCTAATTCAAAAATCGCGTTAGAGCAAATTCGCGTTATCAAAACACGCGTTATAGCAGAACTCACTGTACCTGTAAAATAACATGTGAATTAAATCGATGTCACCCATGTAAAATTTATCATTATCCTGGAAAACATTAAATGACACCTAATTTTTGGGATACACTAAAAGTTGACAAAAAGTCGTTCGCGATGCGGCAGGGTAAGTATGCATGAAATGGCATGAAATTTTGCACAGGTGTTTGTTACAGCCATACAAACGATGCCTGAAAAGTGCAGCCTGCAACTCAAATAAGTGTTTTTTCCCTGCCCCCTACTGTGCTTGATATACTACATTCACGGAAATATAATATTTTTGCTGAAATGATGTACGTATTACAGTGGAAAGTGGGATAAAATTGTGACGAAAACAATGACTTTCACTTTCTTTCGTTCAAAAGATGTTTCTGTAATTGCTTTACGAATGGTTTTCAGTTAAAAAACTGTTGCATCACAAGTGAATTAAGATAGAATATTATTGTAATACAACAGTTTTTAACTGAAAACCATTCAAAAAGTCATTGCTTTCGTCACTTTCCACTGTAATACGTACGTCATTTCAGCAAAAATATTACATTTCCATATTCTCAGAAATAAATAGTAGCTTTGCTGAAACGTAATGTATTTTAGTGTAAATTAGGATAAACTACATGAAAACAAAAGACTTTACCTAGCCTTCCGATGTTCAAGATATGTTACTCATTTTTTTAGTAGTTTTCGGTTAAAATACTCTTATATTAGTGATATTCTATTCATACTGTGCTTGATATAATACATTCACAGAAATGTTATATTTTTGCAACTACAATGCTGATGTCAACACAAGCGTGGTTACAGTGAGACTGACTGAGTGAGGGAGAGCTATGTGTGTGTGCGTGTGAGGTTGCGGGAGCTGGCGATGTCCCGTGTTCGGTGCCGCGCGCGAGTTGAATGGCGCGCGATTTGAATGTACTTCAATTACTTTGATGTACTGTACAGAATATTCCTCTGGCCGGGCAATCCGCGTATTTGCAAATCCATGTATGCTAAACCCGCGTATGTTAAGGGCCGACTGTACTGGACAGGTCAGGATTGAGGTGGCAAGGTACTGTAGTACTGTACCGTATTAAATTGGTTTATTATTATTCTTAATTCATCATTTATTGTTTGATATACATAAATATTTATGTTGCATACAGTCATCAAATAAAATTTAGACATGTAGCTTAACTGGTGGAACTGAACCAGATATGTTGAGCTCTGCAGGTGTCAGTATGAATTAATGAATAGCTTTTCTGCCGAGTCACAATTACTGTACAACAAGAAGTTGAACATGATGCAATACAGTTCTTATACTAAAACTATGTATCAAATTGTTTCAAGGTTCTGTATTATCCCTACTTTAAAAATATGTACTAACACTGCCACCTAATACTCGTAGAAATAGGACTGGTGTTGACTTGTTCGGTTAAGAATCTATGGGTAGATATTTAGCAAATCCTGAAGAATTGCTGCCCATGCATCCTTATGTAAAATTGTGAATACTGAACCAGGAATAAGTTTAATCAGTTTTGTAAAAAAAAAAAAAATTATATATATACAGTGACCCCTCGGTTAACGAACTCAATCCGTTCCAGAAGGTCGTTCATTAACCGAAAAGTTCGTTAACCGAAACCATTGTTTCAGTGGGTTTTTGGGTAATTAGTTCCAGCTCACCGAAAATTTCCTAAATTCAACAAAAATGGTAGAAAAGTTCACTTACTTTGAGGTGTGTATGTAGAAGGCTCCTGGATGATGATGATGATGATGATGGGAATTAGAATGGGGGTGGAGGAGAAGGAAGAAGAAAAGGCATTGGGGTGGAAGAGAAGTCACCCCATGGCACCATTTCATCCATAAAATTTTAGTTCTCTTGGTGTATTTCAAGATTATTTTCTTTAAATCAACACTGCACTGCATTATATATTGTCAATATGTAAAATATATTTCAAAATGACCAATAATTTGCTTGGAAACACAGAAAAAAAGCGTTTAGTTGAAGAGAGTCTCAAGCAAGATGTTACCTACACTGAAAACAGAGAGAGACTAACGCCTGTTTGCTGTGTTAAGAGGCTGGATGCCGCGCATTAAACTAGTCACTTTACCTTCAATTATGTTCAATAATTGTTAAAATGACTAAAAAATTGAATATTAAACTTTTAAAATTATTGAATAGTATAAACTTTTTGATATTTACTAAAATAGTAAGAAATTTAAGCCCTAGAACCGATTAATGTATTGGCGGACTGATACTAAAGCTGGTTGCCCGGTCAGTGCAAGCGAAAACATGTTGAGGTCGGTTCGTAAGAAATTTGTTAACCGAATTTTTGTTCGTTAACCGAATTGAAGATTCTTATGGAAGGCAGTTCGTTAACCGAAATTTTGTTAACCGAGGCGTTCGTTAACCGAGGAATCACTGTATATATATAGATATATATATATATATATATATATATATATATATATATATATATATATATATATATATATATATATATATATATATATATATATATATATATATATATATATATATATATATATATATATATATATATATATATATATATATATATATATATATATATATATATATATATATATATATATATATATATATATATATATATATATATATATATACATACATACATACATATATACATACATACATACATACATACATATATATATATTGCTAAAATCACACGGGAAAAGGGAAACAACGGAGCACCTTAGCTTTCGTCTTTATTCAAGACATCTTCAGTTGCCTGTATATATATTCCTTACCTGGCAGTTCTGTATCTTTTATTGTGAAACCTCGCGTTCATTTCCCTTTCTTCTCTCCTGTTCTCTCGTGTGTTTGGTCTTCCACTTTACTAACTCTGTTTGTTTACGGTAGGTCCTTAGTGGTGATCATTGGGTAACTGTCGTTCACAGGTGACAACAGTCAAGTTCTCTGCAGCGCATGTGGTAGTGACCTTCCAGGACAACATTGCACGAGTCAAGATATTTATGCTGGTTATCAAGGTGCTTTTAACTGTTTGCTGGATAAGGGCGACATTGCCTTCATGAAACATTCCACGATCAAGAGAGCAATTGAGTCAACAGAATCATTGCACACGTAAGTTGGTGATTATGTTTTGTTGTGATGACAAATTAATGTTTTAGTCTACTGTCCGTAACTTGTGGAAAATTGGCTTTTGGGTTCCTTATAGGGGAAAGATTTAACACCCAAGACTTACTTGGCTGTAAAGCATAGATCATCCAGTCTGATATTATTTATGAAACAAGATTTCAGGATCAATCCATCACTTACTGTATTTTAGGGCATATAAGACGTACGGCCATATAAGATGCACCCCCCATTTTAGCAGGGAGTATTTAAGAAATTTAATTTTTTTGTATTTTCCTCCTGTGGCCATAGTTTTCTTAAAACAATACAGTAGACCCTTGCCATTTGTGGGTTTGCAATTCACTATTTCGACGATTAACAGTAAGCAGATGGTGGCTATGGTGGCTAGTTTGCAAGCCTTTTCCTGCAGCACAACGAGTCATCCCATGCAGGATTTCGTGTTGTACAGTACACCCAGATAATTCACGGATTCTTATTTCTCGGTCCTCTATTATTCGCGGATAACACCCAGGATGTACCCAAGAATGTCTGTGGGTAGTTTTAAAGTTGCCGGCATTTTTGTGGCGGGGACAGGGAGCCATTCGTTCTAGAGACAGTAATTTCCTTTACCTGTATTGTATATATATGTGTGTGTGTAGACACACATAAATCACATACAAATAAATAATAATGGAAAAACCCTCTCACAAATAATCAGAAAAAATTATTAAAAAATGTGAGTTTACCTTCAAGTTTACTCTGTGCTTTATTAATCACAAAGCATGGAGTAGACTTGAGGGTAGACTGTCACATTTTTAATAAATTTGTTTCTGATTATTTGTGAGAGGGTTTTTCCATTATTATTTATTTGTATGTGTTTTTTGTGTGTGTGTGTGTGTGTGTGTGTCTACACACACACACACACACACATATATACACTACACTACATCCTTGACCACCGAAGGGTCAAGACGTACCTGGCGCTCCTCTCGGAGCAGCCAGGTCAACTGTTAAGTTGGCCCATACCAACCCCCTCCCCTGAACCACTTCTCCCCACCGGAGTATCAACAGGTTCTCGCCAGAAGTTACAATTTCATTTGGGAAAGGAATGGAACCAGTGTTAAACAGAGGTGAACATTGGTGAACAGTGCTTGAGTCAGTGAGAACAACTCAACAGTAAAAGTCGTATTCAAGTTAACCTTCACACAGTGAGGTCCCAGGTACCCAGTGATAACGGCCCGTGAGACCCAACAACCGGCGATGTGTTAATCCGTCTACGATAGGAAGGCCTGGGGCCACACCTCACTCATATAACACCATCTGTGAGGGAATTACTACACCACGTCACGTCCCTCATAACACCATCTGTGAGGGAATTACTACACCATGTGATGCCCCTCATTACACCATCTGTGAGGGAGTTACTACACCACGTCAAGTCCCTCATAACACCGTCTGTGAGGGAATTACTACACCATTTGAGGTCCCTCATAACACCATCTGTGAGGGAATTACTACACCACATGATGCCCCTCATAACACCATCTGTGAGGGAATTACTACACCACATCAGGTCCCTCATAACACCATCTGTGAGGGAATTACTACACCACGTCAGGCCCCTCATAACATCATCTGTGAGGGAATTACTGCACCACGTCAGGTCCCTCATAACACCATCTGTGAGGGAGTTACTACACCACGTGAGGCCCCTCGTAACACCATCTATGAGGGAACTACTACACCACGTGAGGCCCTTCATAACACCATCTTTGAGGGAATTACTACACGTGAGGCCCCTCATAACACCATCTGTGAGGGAATTACTACACCACATCAGGTCCCTCCTAACACCATCTGGGAGAGAGTTACTACACTACGTGTTTGCTGTTCAACACCGACATTAATCTGAATGTTCACTGTATGTTCCTTTACCTTTCTCTAATGAAGGCTTTTGTTAAACCACCAATGTATGTAATAAGTCATTTATGTCCAATGTATATTTTCAGCCTTCGGTCTGCAGAACTTTTTCAATATACCGTTAATTATTATTATTATTATTATTATTATATACAATACAGGTAAAGGAAATAATTGTCCTAAGGGCAAACACATAAAGGAAGTGCACACCCCGGTCAGCAAATGTCATTCACGGATTTAGCGATTTGCAGCCATTTTGAGAACCTAACCCCTGCGAATTTGAAGGGCATGCTGTACTCTCAAAACTTTAGTGTTTCTGTGTGAAATAGCCCCTAAAAGACTGTCTAGTGTCAGTGCTAGTGGAATGAAATGTAAAAGGCAGAAGTTGAATTATTAGATAAGTTAAAAGAGGGGATGAGTGCTGCCGCAGCTGGTTGATTGTTTGGTATAGGTATACAGAAGTGCACTAAGGTAGTAAAAGTTGCTATTCGCAGTTTTGCCTATTCAGGCCATTCCTTGAAACCTAACTCCCTCGAATAACGAGGGTTTACTCTATGCAGTAGCAGTAAAAGCGAGGAATAATTCATAATAATACCAATAAAAAAGTTACAAAAAAAAATAATGTATTGCCAAACCAGTAAATAAAAGCCAAATGAAAGTGTAACACAGTCACCATTTGCACATACAGTAAAACCTTGCTAAGGCGAACTAATTGGGGGGAAGGGGTGTCCTGGATAAGAGTTTGTCTGCCATAGAACAAATAAAAAATAAAAGACCTCCATTGAAAAAAAAAATGAGTACAACATCGATGAATGAAATACATGTTTTTTAATAAAAAATAATTTAAAAAAGAGTAATGTACTCAAAGAACAGTACTGTACACTTACCCCAAAATATGGAAAGCAGATCCAGCTGGACATGCCTCTGACTGCAAGGGGCTTGCAGTCACTCTCGAGTATGAGTGCTTTGAAATTCCATATTCAGCGCATATTTGCGAGGGAGCAGCACCTTTTTCTAGCTTTTCAATCCCCTCTAACTTTTCGTTCACTGATAAGGTCCTCAGCTTAACCATCTCACCACCCTTACGGAAACCAAACACTTTCTTAGGGGCCATTCTTATTGTCTAATTTTTCAATAATAATGCAAAAATATGTAGCCGTCAATATAATCACATTACTGGCAATGTCAAATAAGTTTCCAAATAAAGTTCAGTGAGTCTATATGGCAATAAAACACAATTGATGGAACGACAGAGCGGAATTGATGCTGTCACGGACGACGTTAATTTTTGACCGAGCGCATAATGCGTTTCCCTTTCTTTACGAGAGTGTGTGGCGTGGGTAGAACACGAGGTCTGTCCACTTTGCTCCCTTGAAATTTTAGCTTATGGTGAACATGTCATCTTAAAACAAATTATGTCCTTTTTTTTTTTCAAATAATTTTGTCTTGCTTAAGCGGGGTCCGCCTGAGCGAGGTTTTACCATACATCTGTACTCCCAGTTCACCATGGCAATGGCGACGCTACCTCCTAGCAACGCACCCCCCACCACCAACCACCCAGCCATCCTTCCACTCCCCCACTAAGCCAGTTAACTCATGTGCAAAGAAATTTATATTCCTTTTATGTGTTTGCCCTCAAGATAATTATTTTTTGTACCTTTTTCACAATATGTATGTAGGGTGGTGTGTGCCTGTATATCAGTAAAAATAAATGAAGAAAGTTACGTATATCTACCCAAATATACGAGTTTAAAAAAAAACAGATTGGCCCAGTAGCCTGGTGGTTACAGAGACGAGTAACCTGGCTACAATGACGGCAACGATGTCAACAGATGTAAATATGGAAAGAAAGTTTTCTGTAAATTTTCATTTGTATCAGGTATTTGTAGATTGAAAAATAAATATTGCAGGTATGGCATTAATAGAGTGTAATGCTTGTAAGAGTTCAGAAATGGGTACTGCTCAGCTACCTTTGAAGAGTTGGGGTGTCTGCTGTACAGACGTTAATTGTCTCAGGTTATCGTCATCAGTACAGTACAGTACAGAGTATTTATAGATTGACCTTTTATATTCTGGAGTTGGGTTAGGTAAAATTTAGCTTTCTGGAGACAGCAATGAGGGGATTCATGAGCTTGGGGTAGACTGTAGCTTCACATAGGATGCAAGCTGAATTTTTTTTGCCATTTTTTCAGACAAAAAGGTCTCTTATATGCCTCAAATATAACATGTTATTACACATCACACTTACAGAGAAGATGAATTTGAGCTCCTATGTCAAGATGGTCGTCGGGTGGCCATGTCTGATTTTGAAGAGTGTAACTGGGGAACCGTACCATCCAATGCCATTGTCACCACTTCTGCCAAGAGTCCAGAACAGCGGAGTTTACTCCAGGAATTTCTCAAGGTCTGTTTCTCATTATTTAGCTGAAATCTACAGAGTTTTACATCTGTAGAGTTTTTGTTTTGTACAGTGGGAGAAATATTTGTTTTGTGCTGATTCACCGTAGTATTTTACTAGCTGGCTTTAACCCTGCCATTGTGAGGCAGCTCCATGATGGCATGAACAACAGTGTCCTGCACAATGGCACACAGTCTGAGTTCTTCCCCATCCATACAAGGGTAAAGCAAGGTGTGTGTGTACTGGCACCAACTCTCTTTTCCATTTTCTTGGCTGCCTTCCTCACTCATGCCAGTGCCAATTAGCCGGTAGGGTGGACATCAAGTACCGGATGAAGGGTCTTTTTAACATAAGATGACTGCAGGCAGGAACAAAGGTGTCGGCAGCTTCCATAACTGAACATCAGTATGCAGATGACCTCACACTTGTCGCTCACACCGATACCAACCTACAGGAGATCCTGAACACCTACGCAGATGCATATGCACACTTAGACCTTGAGCTGATTGTACGTGACACTCAGATTCTCTTTCAGCCTGCCCCTGGTTCAGCCACACCTCCATCATCCATTCATCTTAACGGTACTACCCTCTCTTCAGCTGCAGGGAGCTGAAATTATTTATAAAGTTGCACGTATATCGAGCAGTGGTCCTCCCCACCTTGCTGTATGGCAGTGAGACATGGGTCACATACAGGAGGCACCTCAAGGCACTTGAAAACTTTCACCAACGTAGTCTGCGTTCCATCCTACAAGGTCGCTGGGTAGACAAGAAAACAAATGCCAGTATTTTTGCTGACACTAACTGTAGAAGCATAGAGGCTACCATTTTCCATGAACAACTACAGCTCCTCTCAGACTTACGACCTACTCGACTTACGACCACCCGCACTTACGACCTGCCTCAGCCGTACCAAAATTTTGTCAAATTACGTATTTTCTTTTCCCAACGTCAGTGATTGCGCTGTGTACTGACAAAATTTTTTTTTAATTCACTTTAAAATGGCTGGCAAGCTTAAAAGTGAGAGTTTTGTGGTGCTGAGAAGAAAAGGAGACACCCATTTTAGATTTTCTATGTATTATTTAAGCATTTTCGACTTAGGACCTGGATTTGGGTCCCTAACCCTGCCGTAAGTCGGGGAGGAGCTGTACATTGGACTGGACATGTTACCCGCATGGACGACAGTAGACTGCCAAAGCAGCTACTTTACAGTCATATAACAAATAGTAAACGTAATGCTGGCGGGCAACTGAAAAGGTATAAGGATAGTCTTAAGACAAACCAGAAAAAGTGCCAAATCAACCCCCTTCACCTGGGAGACAATTACTCCACACCGTAATGCTTGCAGGAGCACCACATGAGACGGTGTCAATACTTTCGAATTAGCCCGACTGCAAACTGAGGCAGACAAGCGCCAACGCCGGAAAGACGCTACCGCCGCACCTCCCGCACTAGATGGAACCCTCCACATGTACAACATCTGTGAACGACACTGCCAATCCCGTATCAGCCTCTTTAGTCACTTTAAAACTCACCATTGAAGGTGACATCCTTAATAACTCATATCATTGTCTCATAGCTGGATGATCATCATACTCGATTCCCAGTGACAACAAAATAGTAGTAGCAGTGTGTGTGTGCGTGTGCATGCATGCATGCGTGTAGTACATGTGTGGATGAAGATAATGCATTGGATTGATGTACAGTGCTATGCCCCAACTCAAAGTATAATTTTATTAACCCTTAGGCCCCTGGTGATGTTTCAGAACATCCGACCAGCGCGCCCCGGGTGACGTTCCAGAACGTCCGCCTATTCCCACCACTTTTTTTTATTATTATTATTATTTTTGAAAAAGTTGATTTTTCTCGATTTATTCCCGCAGGGGGAAGGGGGGAGGTACTTACTGCCAGCAGCTCCCTAACCTGGTGCTTAAGGGTTAAACATTTGTGATTGTTGCTGTGTGTACATTGTCCTAATAGTTACACATGAGGTATAAGGAAACAATTGAATTGATCTGTTAAGATGAATTATAATTATTATTATTATTATTTGTTTATTTATTATTATTTTTTTTTTCATCAGCAAATAACCGCACTGTATGGGACGAAGCCGGAAGATCCAAATGAATTCTTCCTCTTTGAATCCTCACCGAAGTATGGCAACTCCTATGATTTGCTGTTGTCGGTAGGTGCTTTATGGTGTTGTTGAATATGATGTACTGTATGTAGGTGGGAGAGTTGCCAGATTATTGTACTATCATTTGTTTTGTTTTAATCGCCCTTACTCGTCTTTCTCTTAAATAAACCCCTTCGCTTTTTCTCATTCTTATCTACAGTACTTGTCAATCACTTCCTCCCATCCCTTTACTCTCCGCCTCTTTTTTCCTCCTTCCTTTATATGTTATCAAATGGATAATTAATTTTTTTCTTATGTCTTTTCTTCACTTTTTCTTTCACTCTTTTTTTTTTAATTGCATCGTTCATTCCTTTTTTCATCAGTCATGTCCTCTGTCTTTTCCTCTATTTTTTTACCCCTTTCCTGTTTCTTTATTTTTCTGTCCTTCTCCCACTATTCCTCCCATCATGTCTTTTCCAAATTTCCTTGTTTATTGTTTTTGTTCTTCAAGTAATGACACAAATTTGAAAACCAACATTGAAAAGCAGAGGAGCATATTGTATATATATATATATATATATATATATATATATATATATATATATATATATATATATATATATATATATATATATATATATATATATATATATATATATATATATATATATATATATATATATATATATATATATATATATATATATATATATATATATATATATATATATATATATATATATATATATATATATATATACACACAGTTGTACCCCACTTAATCAATAGAACCCAGAGGGTCCCGCGTTAAGTGAAATCCGCGTTAAGTGAACAACAGAACATATGGGATTAATTCCAATAGAAACCAGCCCGACCCCCAAACTCCACTTTTTGAAGACACATAACTATGTTGTAGTAAAAATAACATCTTAATTTTATGATGGTACATGCACACAATTAATACTTAAGAGAAATAGAGAAATACAGTCGCCAAGTTAATGTCCATTCAAATAATGGACTCAACTCCCTCCCCCTCTTCTCACACAACACTGCTGGCTCTTCCCTCTCTGAGAAATTTTTGGGGGAAAACCACTAAATTTTAATAAATAAGACCTCAAACTAAAGTTAGGATAATACAGTTGACATTGCTGGATTCCTTGTAAGACCAGGAATATTTTGAATATAAATGTCATATATTTTGCACAAAAGATAACATAGTTACTCAGAGAAAACATTTTATCTAAAATTTGTATGTCTAATGCAAAATATATGATGTTTATATTCAAAATGATCATCAAATTATAAGAATTCCAGCAATGTAAATTATATTCTGACCGGGTAATTTGTATGAATTTTATGAGCTAAAACAAATATCTTCAGTTAATAAAAAAAAAATATTCTTCACGACACTATCTGTCAATCAAAGTACCCCACCTTGCCTCCCCCCTCTTCCAACCGCGCGGTCAGTCCCAACCCTCCCCCCCACCCCCCACCAATCCTCCCTTCAAGAGATGTGGGTGAAAAAAATAAATTTTAACATTTTGTATTAAATAATACCTCAGATTAAAGTTAGGATAATATAATTGACATTGCTGGATTCCTTGTAAGACCAGGAATATTTTGAATATAAATGTCATATATTTTGCACAAAAGAGAACATATTTACTCAGAAAACATTTTATCTAAAATTTGTATGTCTAATGCAAAATATATGATGTTTATATTCAAAATGATCATCAAATTATAAGAATTCCAGCAATGTAAATTATATTCTGACCGGGTAATTTGTATGAATTTTATGAGCTAAAACAAATATCTTCAGTTAATAAAAAAACATATTCTTCACGGGGTAACAGATGGTCGGTCGGTCCCTCCCTCCCCCCCACCCCCCACCAACCGTCCCAAGGAGATGTGTGGGGAAACCAGAATATTTAACTTTAGTAATATATAATACCTCAAACTAAAGTTAGGATAATATAATTGACATTGCTGGATTCCTTGTAAGACCAGGAATATTTTGAATATAAATGTCATATATTTTGCACAAAAGAGAACATATTTACTCAAGAGAAAACATTTTATCTAAAATTTGTATGTCTAATGCAAAATATATGATGTTTATATTCAAAATGATCACCAAATTATAAGAATTCCAGCAATGTAAATTATATTCTGACCGGGTAATTTGTATGAATTTTATGAGCTAAAACAGGCAGTCAGGCAGGGTGGCGGGTGGGGCAAATTTAAAAATAGCGTCTGGAGCCGGACACTCACCGCGTATATGTGGAAAAAATCCGTGTTAAGTGAAAGTTCAGCTCTGGCGAGGCACCGCGTATATGAAAAAACGCGTTAAGTGAAACCGCGTTAGGCGGGGTAATACTGTATATATATATATATATTTATTTATTTATTTTGTTACGAGTTGGGGGATTTAGAATATAGTTAAAAGTCTACCCAGATCCCAACAGGCAACAACAATAAAAAAACAAAGACAATCGGACTATAAAAGGGTAGACAAAGGATGCGAGTTTTTGTTGTGTATAATAAAGTACCATAAATTCCTTAACAAAATATTCAGCTTTCTATAATTTACCCTTAACCATACTTAACCTAAACATTAACAGTATATACATATTTATACAACATACAACAATTTTGAAGCAAGTGGACGTGGGGAGGCAAAATAAGATTGCAAATACTTAAGTGCGGAGCTGAGATGGCTGACGAGTAAGGCTGAGTATTGTAGAAGACGGTAGGTAGTCACTGTGCCGTAGGTTTCCAGGATAGGTGATCCTGTGGTCACTTCCCAGAGTGAACTGAACTCTCCTCGAACTGGAGCTGATGAAGAAGACTTGGAGGAGGTGACGCAACAACCAGGATATGGAGAAGGGAAACCCCGGAGTGGTAACTAAGAGTAGTCATACTCGGGCTTCGTCCCTAGATGGCGTTGCTCGTGGTGCTGGGTAGGTAGATCAGGACAATAGATGGCGTGGTTCGTAGTGCTGGGTAGGTAGATCATGACAATTGATGGCGTGGTTCGTAACAATATATATATATACAGTATTACCCCGCCTAACGCGGTTTCACTTAGCGCGTTTTACCGTATACGCGGTGCCTCGCCAGTGCTGAACTTTCACTTAACGCTGGTTTTTTCCACGTATACGCGGTGAGTGTCCGGCTCGAGAGCTATTTTTAGATTCGCCCCACCCGCCACCCTGCCTGACTGCCTGTTTTAGCTCATAAAATTCATACAAATTACCCAGCCAGAATATAATTTACATTGCTGGAATTCTTACAATATGATGATCATTTTGAATATAAACATCATAGATTTTGCATTTGACATACAAATTTTAGATATAAAGTTTATTTTGAGTAAATATGTTATTTTTTGTGAAAAATATATGACATTTGTATCCAAAATATTCCTGGGCTTACAAGGAATCCAGCAATGTCAATTATATTATCCTAACTTTAGTTTGAGGTATTATTTATTACTAAAAAGGTAAATATTCTGGTTTTTCCACACATCTGGTGGGACGGTTGGTGGGGGGTGGGGGGGAGGGAGGGACCGACCGACCATCTGTTACAGTGTGAAGAATATTTTTTTTTTTATTAACTGAAGATATTTGTTTTAGCTCATAAAATTCATACAAATTACCCGGTCAGAATATAATTTTCATTGCTGGAATTCTTATAATTTGATGATCATTTTGAATATAGACATCATAGATTTTGCATTGGACATACAAATTTTAGATGTAATGTTTACTCTTGAGTAAATATGTTATCTTTTGTGCAAAATATATGACATTTATATTCAAAATATTCCTGGTCTTACAAGGAATCCAGCAATGTCAATTATATTATCCTAACTTTAATCTGTGGTATTATTTAATACTAAATGTTAAAATTTAGTTTTTCACCCAACATCTCTTGAAGGGAGGATTGGTGGGGGGTGGGGGGAGGGTTGGGACTGACCCAGCGGTTGGAAGAGGGGGGAAGGCAAGTTGGGGTATTTTGATTGACAGATAGTGTTGTGAAGAATATTTTTTTTTTTTTATTAGCTGAAGATATTTGTTTTAGCTCATAAAATTCATACAAATTACCCGGCCAGAATATAATTTACATTGCTGGAATTCTTACAATTTGGTGATCATTTTGAATATAAACATCATAGATTTTGCATTAGACATACAAATTTTAGATATGAAGTTTACTCTGAGTAAATATGTTATTTTTTGTGCAAAATATATGACATTTGTATTCAAAATATTCCTGGTCTTACAAGGAATCCAGCAATGTCAATTGTATTATCCTAACTTTAGTTTGAGGATTATTTATTAAAATTTAGTGGTTTTCCCCCAAAAATTTCTCAGAGAGGGAAGAGCCAGCAGTGTTGTGTGAGAAGAGGGGGAGGGAGTTGAGTCCATTATTTGAATGGACATTAACTTGGCGACTGTATTTCTCTATTTCTCTTAAGTGTTAATTGTGTGCATGTACCATCATAAAATTAAGATGTTATTTTTACTAGAACATAGGTATTGTGTCAGAAAAAGTGGAGTTTGGGGATGGGCCAGTTTCTATTGGAATTAATCCCATATGTTCTGTTGTTCACTTAGCGTGGTTTACACTTAACACGGTACCCTCTGGGTTTTATTGACCGCGTTAAGTGGGGTACAACTGTGTGTGTGTGTGTGTGTATATATATATATATATATATATATATATATATATATATATATATATATATATATATATATATATATATATATATATATATATATATATATATATATATATATATATATATATATATATATATATATATATATATATATATATATATATATATATATATATATATATATATATATATATATATATATATATATATATATATATATATATATATATATATATATATATATATATATATATATATATATATATATATATATATATATATATATATATATATATATATATATATATATATATATATATATATATATATATATATATATATATATATATATATATATATATATATATATATATATATATATATATAAAGCCACTGCATCTGTACCTCTGTCACCTCCTTGTTTCATGTCCAAACCATAACTTCTAGACACCAGAGAAATTTTAATTTAACTTTACACAACTTTTTACCTGGAGACTTCCTATCACCCATTACGGTGAAACCTCTATTAATTAGGAAATGGAGAGAAAATTCCTTTATATCGAAGGTCTCTTATATATAAGAAACCTCCATCTAATGACCTATATAGAGATGAGAGTCGTTATATGGAGGATCCAGTAGATATGAAATCCCTATCTAACACATTATATGGAGATAGAAGTCTGTTATATGGAGGTTTCACTGTAACTTGAGAACAATGTGTCAAAAGTCAGGGAAAGTGATTACAGGGTAGTTGTAAAGATGTGTTGGACTTCCTTAAAGGGAACATAAGTACTGTATGTTTCACTTGTTTTTGTTTTGTAGGATGACACACAGATGTTGGTGGAGCTGGCCATCAGCCAACAGAACTTCCAGAAATATCTTGTCGGAAACATCATGAGCCACATCGAGACTTTGCATTCATGTCCTGTGGCCACCATGACCCTCTGCGTCACCTCTCGGTCCGAATACTTAAAGTGCCTCAAGATGCGGGTTGGTCTCTATGCTAGTATTTTCTAGACCACTTCCTTTCTGTCAGATGTAGAAACTGTTGAAGATCCAATAATTAGTTTCTTAAATTTAGTATAAAATAAATAATCTGTAATTCATTTTCTTATTTGTTCATATTGTTTGGATGTTCCTCTTGTATTTGTTCACAAGTGAAGGAAAGTGGTTGTCTCTTTTAGTTAATTTTTTAAGTTCAGTTTTTAATATTTCACTATTAACTAACAGATTTTGAGTTCTGTATTTGATATTAATGAGTCCATTAACTAACTCTTTTGATGCTCATAAATAATATTTTATTTCAGATGAAAACAAGTGTCTTAAGATCTGTTGTTTCTTAAGAACTATTGCTGAATTTTGCATTGTAAATTTAATAAAAATATTTTGATTGATATTTCTTGATTGTAGGCCAATGTAAGTTTTGTTGTATTATTAAGATAATCGTGTTAGTGAGCTCAATACTTCGCTGTATGGTTGCACTGTGGGAGTGCATCCTTATGGTTATTGTGTCATTATTATTAATGCTATTGGCAGAACTCTGTTAAAATTTAATTTCACAAATTGTTTCCATAAATTATTGCTATAATGATCTGAAATGATAAATTTGACTCTTGTTCAGTCTATTTTGTGATGATAAGATATCTATCTTTTATATCATAAAATAGTATGTCTTTTCATGACATTGGCCCTTCTTGCACTGAGTTCTAAATAGTAATAGTATAACCAGTAGTTACTAGCAGTAATAGTATAATGAGTAAGACTGAAGACATAAAGTAAGGAATAGTTCATCACATGACACTTTCTTCCATATTCAGTAAGTCCTCGCTTAACGTCGTCCCGCCTAACGTTGTTTCAGTACTACGTCGCTGAACTTTAGAGACCAAAAATTTTTTTAACGTCCCAGTGATCCGACGCTACTGTACGTCGTTTTGCGTCATCACAGACTACTTTCTATGGTGAATCACCTGCTCTTGTCTAGCCGCGCTACGCTCTCTCGGCTCGGTGCGCTGCCCACACTCGCAAAACGTCACAGCGTCCCCAAGCGACGCCGAGCCAGTCTGTTATGACTTCACATCATTCGTGTGTGCTTAAGTGCTTTTGCTCTAAAACTGTACTCTAACCATTCAAAATGGCTTCCAAGCACCCATCAAGTGCTACTGATGCTAGTGTAGGGAAGAGGCAACGTAAGAACATTACCCTGACTACGAAAATGGATGTATTAACCCGATTTGAAAAAGGGAAACGTGCTGTGGACATAGCCGCTGTGCTTGGTCTAACCCCCACAACGGTGCCTACTATCCGGACCAAAGCTGACAACATAAAGGTTAGTGCTGGAATTGGTTCTTCTCTGAGTACTACTAAGATGACTCACACTAGAATCACTGTGATAGAGAAGGTGGAAAAGATGCTGGTAATGTGGATGGAGGACCAGAATCAATGCAATGCCCCTGTGAGCCTTATGGTTATCCAGCATAAGGCCAGATCCTTGTTTGATGACATGAAGGAAACGGAGGGTGAAGGATTGAATTAAGAGACATTTACGGCCAGCCGAGGCTGGTTTCAACAATTTAAGCGTCGGTATAACTTCCACAACATAAAGATGACTGGTGAAGCTGCCAGTTCAGATACGGTTGCTGCCGAGACATTCCAGCCAGAATTCAAACGGATTATCCAACAAGGAGGCTATTCACCGAAGCAAGTCTTCAATGTGGATGTATCTGGTCTCTTTTGGAAGAGGACCTATATCTCCAAGGAGGAGAAAAGAGCGCCAGGTTTTAAAGCTGCAAAAGACCTCTTGACGCTTCTGCTTGGCTCGAATGCTGCCGGCGACTTCAAGCTGAAGCCGATATTGTTTCTCGCGCTGCCAACCCACGGGCCCTGAAAGATTACTCTAAGGATTACCTTCCTGTGATCTACAAGGCAAATAAGGAGGCATATATAGCCAGTGGTTAAACGTGGACGCTGTCCCTGCACTGAAGGAATACTGTGCCAAGGAGAACCTTAACTTCACAATTCTTCTGATCCTTGACAATGCTCCAGCTCATCCTCCCAATCTCGACGACTTGCATGACAGTGCAAAAGTTGTATTCCTGCCTCCCAACACGACAGGACTGATGCAGCCTATGGACCAAGGCGTCATCGCCGCATTCAAGGCGTATTATTTATGCCGTACTATGACCCAGCTGCTCAAGGCTACAGATGGAGAAAATTAACCAGCGATCCAAGAATATTGGCGCGGTTTCAACATTCTTTAAGCAATTGACAACATTGCCAAGGCATGGGAAGAGGTTTCAGAAAGTTGCCTGAATGGTGTGTGGCGTAAACTGTGGCCTGAGTGCGTCAACAGTTTTACGGGATTCACGGACTTAGTCCCAGCTGTGAATAGGGATATCCTCGGCTTGACTAGACAGGCAGGCTTTGATGAGCTGGAATCAGAGGATATTGAGGACATCCTGGCGTCCCATACAGAAGAGCTCACCAACGAAGATCTGCAACAATTAACAGAACACAGTCCCGTTGAAGACGACGACAATGAAGAAGAACATCAATGAACGCTAACTTCCAAGAGGTTGGCAGAATTGTTGAACATGTTCCAGCAAGCAATGCAACTCCTTCTAGATGGTGACCCAAACAGAGAACGTAGCTCAAAGGTTCAATGCAGCATTGAGGACAGTCTAGGTTGTTACACCGAGATCTATAAGGAGAAGATGAGTAACACCAAGCAGTCAACACTGGATTCATTTTTTCATCGCGTGACGGCAGAAGCGGCTTCTTCGCAACGGCCGGCAGCCAAGGAGGAGCAAACGACAACATAGGAGCCAACGGTGGCGGAGGAACCCCAGTCAGAGCAGGAGGAGGAGGCAGCCGCAAGTCTCAGTGACTAACCACCCTCCTTCTCTCCTGCCCTCTGCATTTTCAGGAACATAACCCCGCCGTTAAGTGTGGACGCCCTGTACTGTTCTAATATTTAATAATGGAAAATGAGAGTGTACTTATACATTTACTGTTATCCATATTATGTGGTTTGTGAAAAGGCAGTACTGTAGTATACTGTACGTGATTTGAATGTCTGCCCTGTAAGTGTAGTGAATAATACACCAAAGGTGTACTGTATTATGCATGTGTCTGCTTGAATGAGTGTGTCTTTGAATGTTTGCATGTCTACGTGTGTGCTCAGTCTTGTGCAGGTGAGTGTATCTTTATACAGTATGTTAAAGTAATTATATGCACAAAGAGACAGTAAAATGGTAATTTGTTTACCATATTTATGAATGTTCGGTAAACCCCCGATATAACGGACACCGTCTATAATGGATCTTGGTTTTAATGGACCCTCTGACCCGTTCGGACGAGGTTCATATAATATGGATTCGGGTCCGTTAAAGAAAAAATAACGGTCCATTCTGGTGAAAAATTTATGGACTCAATTACGGTGATATCCACGTTAGCCGGAACAATTGGTGCAGCGTATCAAAGCTGGAAAAAAATCTCCCATCCCTGGAATTTCCGGGTAACGGAAAAATACTTCTGGAAGTTCCGGAAATTGCGCATTACATTATCTCTAGAACCCGGTAAAATCTCTCTCATCCCCAGAATTTTCCGGATACCAGAAATTTTTCTCAGAATTTCCGGAAAATACCCAATTTTCATCCCTCAAACCCGGAAGAAAACCCCGCATCCCCGGAAATTTCCAGAAAATGTGCCCCTCGGTAAATCGTTCCCATACATGTCATACGTGTATCATTTTTATCATTTACTGAATTAATTTTTGAATTTTTAATACAGTATAGTCTGCATTTACGTGTTTTTGTTAACGCGTTTGGTCATTTACGCAGTGCCTTGCCAGAATGAAATGTTTTAATTATGCGGTAAATGTCATTTACGCGGGAAGCGGCGCAGGCAGGGTGCGCACAAGGTCGCCCAGTCATCAAAACATTACCGAGTTCTTCACCCGCCACCCACCACAGCCGGCCCAAGTCAGTGATAGTGAGGATATGGACTTTAAGGGGTTTGACAAAGAGGCCCTGCAAGCCTCTGTGGTGGATAGTGATACAATTGATGCAAGTGATACAGGTGAGGGCCAATAATCTGCCCTCTGCTTCAGAACCAACCCCCCCATCCCCGTGTGCCCAGCCATCTTTTCTACTAACGTAAGTGTTAAAAAAGCCTAATATTATTGTTATTTATCTTAATTATTAATTGTGTGTGCATACCATCATAAAATTAAGATGTTATTTTGACTACAATGTATGTATTGTGTCAGAAAAAGTGGAGTTTGGGGGTCGGCCCAGTCTCTATTTCAATTAATCCCATATGTTTTGTTATTTCATAAATGCGTTTCTGGTTTTACGCGGACCTCCATGGGTTCAATTGACCGCGTAAATGCAGACTATACTGTATCACTAGTTTATTGAGTTATTTGGTAAATATAAATACTGTACTGTAAAATAAAAAATCTGGCAACTTTGCAGTGGCTGATCAGCCAGCTGCACCAACTGTGATTGAAAAAATTTACTTTGCTTATACAGTATACATAAATATTTATGGCACTTGATGCAGCTACTGAAGTACACCTTTTCACATATCTGTTGAGACATTGTTACATAACTATTTGACAAATTTCATAACCGAATGACAGAATACATATTGAATGACAATCTAAAATAACTGTTCGTTCATGTTAACGGAAGTGATTGACATATGTTATGAAGTTGACAGACGTGAATAATAAACCGACAGTCTACATATAGTTTGAGAATGTAACAATTGGAGAATGACATACCACCAACAGTTATTTTAGATTGTCATTCGATATGTATTCTGTCATTCGGTTATGAAATTTGTCAAATAGTTATGTAACAATGTCTCAACGGATATGTGAAAAGGTGTATTTTAGTTTAAAACATAGAAGCCTAAAAACAATATAGACTTGTACTTGTAATAAATACCAAAATTCCAAGTGTATCAAATGCTGTAAATATTTGTAAGCAAGGTAATTGGGCACACATGACCCAGCCACATAGTTCATGAACTTAGCCAGCCAAGATTTTAAGACCACCACTCTCCACCCCTGACAGACAGATATTCATTGAGTTACCTGTATATGCCTGAAAGGTATTATAGTTAGCCACTAAACAAGCAAGAATAGAATGATAGTGGTGGTGATACACAACCCTCGCATATAGTTGCGTTAGAAGCTCGTTATATAAACTTTTTCTCCTGGGGGGGTATTCTTAACTGTACAAGTAAACAGCATCCTCCAGCACAGTAAAATGATCATAGTCTTTTCTGACTAAGTTGGTATATAACTAAACGAGTCTGTTATTATTTTGGAATCTGATATAATGTACTTTTGGCTGTAACGGACTGGCCTCTCCCCAAGTACAGTAGTCCATTGTAGCGGGGGTTTACTGTATTAAATTATTTTAAAGCTCGTTAATTACCCAAATTTTAAAATTCTCAACCCAGATCCTTAACCAGTATATGAAAGTGTACCTCTGTGAATTTTGAAAAAAATCCATGTTTAGGCCTCATGCTGAAAAAATGGGTAATAGGTCAGTCGTCATTTTAATGATAAAATGTCTTTTGTCTGGAAACTGAAAACTAATATGTTTAAATCATACTGAGAAAATGTATGTAAAGGTGATTTAAAACCTACGGGCACGACATAATTGACGTTCTAATTATTCTGTATGTATACAGTCATCCCTTGGTTATCACTCCTAATTGGGACCATGCCGAGTGCGTGATAACGAAAAACGCGATAACGAAAGTACAGAACCTATGGGATTTATTTTAATTGGTTCCAGGCACCCAAGACCCAACCCCAACTTTCTCATTTTACGACCATTTAGACCCACTAAATATATATATATATATATATATATATATATATATATATATATATATATATATATATATATATATATATATATAATGTTATGGTAAATATCAGAAACACACATAGGCATGACTAGGTTTATTACAAAGTGATGAAAAGGGTACGCTCAATACTGTAGTCCACAAAACATGTACAGTCAACCCTCACTTTACGCTGTCCCACATTCCGCGTTTCTACGTTTACGCGGTGCCCTGCCAGAACCCAGGATGCTCACATTCCGCGGTGGGTGTACCCCTTTACACGGGTGAAGTATAATTTTTTTATTTAGCTCATAAAATTCATACAAATTATCCGGCCAGAATATAATTTACATTGCTGGAATTCTTACAATTTGATGATCATTTTGAATATAAACATCATAGATTTTGCATTAGACATACAAATTTTAGATATAATGTTTACTCTTGATAAATATGTTATCTTTTGTGCAAAATATATGATATTTATATTCAAAATATTCCTGGTCTTACAAGGAATCCAGCAATGTCAATTATATTATCCTAACTTTAGTCTGATTTATTATTTATTACTAAAAAGGTAAACAGTCTGGTATTCCCACACATTTATGTAGTAGGGACGGTTGGTGGGGGGTGGGGGGGAGGGAGGGACCGGCGACCGACCATCTGTTACCGTGTGAAGAATATTTTTTTTTTATTAACTGAAGATTTTTATTTTAGCTCATAAAATTCATACAAATTACCCGGCCAGAATATAATTTACATTGCTGGAATTCTTACAATTTGATGATCATTTTGACTATAAACATCATATATTTTGCATTAGACATAAAATTTTTAGATATAATGTTCATTCTGAGTAAATATGTTATCTTTTGTGCAAAATATATGACATTTATATTCAAAATATTCCTGGTCTTACAAGGAATCCAGCAATGTCAATTATATTATCCTAACTTTAATCTGAGGTATTATTTAATACTAAATGTTAAAATCTAGTTTTTTCACCCACTCTTTCTCTTGAAGGGAGGGTTGGTGGGAGGTGGGGGGGAGGGTTGGGACGGACTGACCATCTGGCTGGTTGGAAGAGGGGGGGAGGCAAGGTGGGGTACTTTGATTGACAGATAGTGTCGTGAAGAATATTTTTTTTTTTATTAACTGAAGATATTTGTTTTAGCTCATAAAATTCATACAAATTACCCGGCCAGAATATAATTTACATTGCTGGAATTCTTACAATTTGATGATCATTTTGAATATAGACATCATAGATTTTGCATTAGACATACAAATTTTAGATGTAATGATTGCTCTGAGTAAATATGTTATCTTTTGTGCAAAATATATGACATTTATATTCAAAATATTCCTGGTCTTACAAGGAATCCAGCAATGTCAATTATATTATCCTAACTTTAGTTTGAGGTATTATTTATTACTATACCTGGTTTTTCCCCCAAAATTTCTCAGAGGGAAGAGCCAGCAGTGTAGTGTGAGAAGAGGGGGAGGGAGTCGTGTCCATTATTTGAATGGACATTAACTTGGCGACTGTATATCTCTATTTCTCTTAAGTATTAATTGTGTGCATGTACCATCATAAAATTAAGATGTTATTTTTACTAGAACATAGGTATTGTGTTGGAAAAAGTGGAGTTTGGGGGTCAGCTGGTCTCTATTTCATTTAATCCCATATGTTATGTTATTCACTTTACGCGTTTCTCACTTTCCGCGGTACCCTGTGGGTTACATTAACCGCGTAAAGTGAGGGTTGACTGTAACTATATTTTCTTTGAGTCCCCCATCATAAGAGTCCGTTTTCTCTCACATCAGGATGCCTGAATCCTCCATTTTCTCTCAATCTTAGAGTGCACCAGAGACTTCGTTATTCTTTAGTAATGACACAGAATTTGAAATTGCAACCCCAATTGCAACTGGGGTTGCAATTGTTGAGGCAACTAGATATGTCTGATTACAGAAAATGTGTTATTGTCAATTTGTAGGTGAAAGATTTTATCCTCAATAGATGGAGGCAAATGCGTGATAGCCAAATTCTCGGCCTGAAAAATGCGCTATAACGGCAGGTGTGCAGATTTTGATGGAGGCGTGATAACTAAAATCGCGATAACCAAGTGTGCTATAACCAAGGGATGACTGTATTGTATTTGTATAGAGTTTGTGACTGTCTGAGTACTGTATACCTGTATCATAGTTTAGCAAGTGTGTGAAAGTTTGTTTGCAAAGTGTTTAGCTTGTTCATTAACAAGTAATCAGGTTTGTGTACAGTGTATCTTCATACTGTACGGTATCGTATTTCAAGGTTATGGACGTATGTGAAGAGATTATTTAATTGAGTATATCATGGTTTATTGAGTGTGGATGTGTACTGCATGTAGAGAATATATTAATGAGTGTGTAATATCATATTATAGTAAGTTGTAGATGTTGGTATATTGTGATAATTTTATTTATTTTTTTAAGTGGAGAGTGTGACGAGCAATGTTTGGCTGTGGGTCAACAGTACCTTGTAGGTCCAGATGGAAGTGAGGGCTGTAATCTCCATTTTTATACTGCATTTTATTACTTAAACAGCAGACAGTGACCTTTCTTTTAGTAACCACACAGCACCTCTACTACTGTATAGTGCTTAGCCACTGTAATGACTCCCCTACCCTCTCTCTTGTGGTTACTTATAAGTTGTTCTAATGTCTTGATATGTTTTAACAACTGTGCATTACACTATATGGATGTTCCATTGCATGATATACCATAATCTTTTGTTTGTCTACATTAAGAATTAATTATGCAGACAGCTTTGCACGCCCAACTTCTTCAACCAAAGATGGAATGCCTTAGAGGAGAGTCCAATTTTGACTGCATGGCTTCCATTAAGAGTCGGTAAGCTGCACGTTTTCTGTTTGTCTTTATTTTTAGTACTGTACTGTACTTCAAACAGGAGGATTTTGGAAAAGAGGAAGGAAAAATGCTGGAAGTGTGTATTTTTGTATGAAGGAATTTGAGCTGAAGTTTAATGGCCAGAGTTTATCTGAGGCACTGTGTTGTATTTTAATTAGGTTTTGCATATTGACTAATGCTACTCACTAACTTGATGATCCATCAGTTGCCAAGCTTAGACTTCCTATCTGTAAGGTTTGTGCATTTCATGGGATGAAATGAATTATGCCATGGAGTAGCTCTGCTTCTATCCTCCCTTTTTCTTGTCTGAGTACCCACATAGTTAGCATTGCTTGGCAGAATTACTAAAAAAAATTATTGTAAGATCATTTGAATAAACTAAGTTTAATTCATTAGTCAGTTCCGCTATAACGCAATAGTTGTGTTCTTGTAAAACATCGTGTTATAGAAATTCGCGTAATAGAAATAACAGGGCTTATGGAGAAAATAGGGTTAGGTGCAGATTACTACTCAAAATCGAAAAAAATTTAGTAGTTAGCCTAATACAAAGGATAGCACAGTCTAAATAAATGTTACATTCATATCTAATAATGAAATCATACAGTAAATGTAACACTTTACCTTGAAAAAATATGAATATAACTTGATGTGGGAGAAGGGTGATTTTGAGGTAGATAACATCGAGCTTCTCTTCAAGGGTTATAGCCTTTCTTTTACGATCATCACTGGGAATGCGATCACCAGAACGCTTCTTGGAGATATTCTTCTTTACCATATTCACAGTTAATACCACAAAATTGGAGAAATAGTAAGCAAAAACCGCGTTACAGCAAACAAGTGTTCGCGTTATACAAATATCGTTCCTCTATTCATAAATCGTGTTAGAGCCAATTCGCGTTGTCAAAACACGCGTTATAGCAGAACTCACTGTATTTGGATATTAGATGGGAAATGAGAATTCTATGCAATAGTTTGCTAATTAATGAAACTTGACGATCTTTAGAAATTTTTTTATTTCTCTAAAATTTTGGAACATTGATATGAGTAAATAATTTTGGCACACGAAATATTTTGATCTCAAGGATGGTGTCTCCCTGGGAGAGACTCTGGATTGCATTATACTGTGCACTACAGGCACTACTTTTTATTTTCAGAAGACCTCAGGATCTTTTCAACATCCACAGTACATAATTATCTGATGGAATGTTTGCTTCCTCTTTTTCCTTCAACACCAAGAGGAGTCTCTTGATAGGAGTTGTTTCGTTTGATATACAACACAACACTTCTCAGTTCACCTTTATATAAAATAGGGGTTCCTCAACATATTTTCATTTGTGATAAAATTCTGTAGATGTGTTTTATGGTGTTTAAAATGCTTTTTGTTCCACCACCTTACTGGAGTATTAATGTTCAAGTAGATGATATTACTGTTCCATCCAGTGGTTCCCAAACATGGGGTCACTCGCAAGATGCCAGTACCTTGTTGACACATTTGTATCCATATGTAATACTGTGACCACATGGGGTACAATGTAAACTTACCTTTCACATCAAGGTAAAGTTGTCAACCTTGATACAGTAATGTCACCAAACAAGGGTTACTGTACCTCTACTGCATGAGGGATTCTCTGCTTTTAATTTAATTTTTGAGCAGAATATCTTAATGTAAATTAAATCTAAATTTACACCTCCTCAGGGAAGCAGATGTGGCTCTCTTTGAAGCTGGAGACATCTATAGTGGAGGTCTGAGGTATGAGTTGATCCCTATAATGGCTGAGCAGTATAACCTGGACAACCTCGAGTACTACGTCGTGGCTGTGTCTAAGGAGGATGATCCCGACACTGACGTCCTTTATCTAAAAGGTGAGAGGAAGTACACCTGATTGAACTATAGGAAGATGCTGGTGGCTTAAAGAAAGGTTGTACGCTGCTCCTCCACCCGGGTAGCCAGGTAACTTGCCCAGCAACTCATAAATTAATACAAATGCACGATCATATTACAGTATTAATATACAAAATTTGGGTCACCCATAACAGCAGAGTATTCTCATGCTTATCATTCTGGCTTATCTTTAAAGATAAGTATTTCTCCCACATTTTGAGTTTGGACTTTAGAGATTAAATGTTTTCCTTCCATGTTGTGAAGCTTTCACAGATAAATAGCTGATGCTAAACTCTGCTGTCACTTTCACCACACTCAAGTAAACTAAGCACTACTGTTTTCTAAGTAATTGGCATGTAGTCCACCTATCTTTTCTTATCAGAAGTTAAAATGCCTAGTGAAGGAATGGTGAAGTATTACACAGTAACAGAGAAACAACCACCTATGTGCCACACTAGAAGTGCCATTTATCTGCAGTGAATGAGGTTATAACGATTTGCTTCTTATTAACAGATGTAACAGTATGCCACAGTAATGGGGAGAACATAATATATCTACCTTTACCAACTGTGTATCTGTTGAGGTGACTGTTACCGTGAACATAACAGTTACTTGTGAAACTGTCATATATGTAACAACCTTCCTGCGTTTTCACCACTTGTAACAATCACTTGTGAAGCACGTTACCTTATATTTTAGACATACTAAATATCGATCAAAGTTTATTGGATTTTCTGTAGTGAAATCCAATATGTTCCTTTGTTTGTATTTATTATAAAAGGTTTCCATGTACACTTTCAAAAAGGATTATCACCGTAACTTAATCACTGTAGTTATGAGTGTTAAATGAGGACGGAGGCTAAGTTGAATAGCTCTGCTAAGTACGTCCTGTCAATGAGCGGCGAGTGAGAATGAGTAGGGACCCATCGAGGGAAGAACGGAAATACAGGTTGTACCTCTCTAGTCCGGCATTCTGTGGTCCGGAAACTCCCGTGGTCCGGAACGATTTTAGTTTGTCCAATAGGTAGATAGGAAGCTTTTTTTTTTTTTTTTTTTTTTTTTTTTTTTTTTTTTTTTTTTTACTTATCTGAATTATTATTATTATTACAGGAGTATTAAATTTTTGCCCCTCAGGCCCCAATGTGGGTCAGTGACCTATGCCCGGGTGGGCTAATCCCCTTAAAAAAAAAGCCGCGGGAAATTAAGGTTTGTTTACATCCGGCAGTTCGGCTGCTCTCTCTCTCTCTCTGCTTGTCTATACAGAGTACAACATTTAACCCTTCAATATATATGAGCAGTAAATAAGTGTTGCTTTCATATTCTTATGTAGAGTAATGACGATATATTTTCACATGTGCGCACTTACATACGAGCAGTCTCACTTTTTTTTTTACCATTAATGGTTAGCTACTTATATTGTTCCATTTATTAACATTAAATAACATTACAGGTACTTCAAGCAACCATATTCATTTTTTACATTAATTTTACTACAGCTAAACTCAGGGTCTTATTTTCTTCAGTTTTATATGTAGAACCAATCAGTCACTGGTTTCGTAAGCTTTAACATAAACAATGCCGGCAGCCGTCTCGTCTCCTCTAATATTCCACGTATTATTAATAAATTGTATTGTTAATTTTGCACACACGTACATTAATTCAATAAAAACAAATTCAGAAACATTAATTAAAATATATATGAACAGTAAATAAGTGTTGCTTTCATGTTCTTATGTAAAGTAATGACAATATGTTTTCACGTGTGCGCATGCGCACTTACATATGCGATCTCTCTTTTTCTTTACCATTATCGTTAGCTACTTCTATTGTTCCATTTATTAACATTAAATAACATTACTTAAAACAACCATATTAATTTTACTACAGCTACAACCAAGGTCTTATTTTCTTCAGTTTTATATGTAGAACCAGTCAGTCACTGGTTTTGTAATCAACGAAAACAATGCTGTGTCATTTCCTCATGTGTTTTAATTTTCTACGTATTATTAATGAATTGTATTGCTCATTTTGCACACATAAGCATTAATTCAATAAAAAAGACATTCAGTAATAAACAATAATGAATCTTTTGTACATAAGAAAAATGACGCTGTTTACACGATTATGCACGTCATCTGCACGTTGGCGGGCCGTTCAAACCCGTCGAAATTCAAGTTTCCGCTGTCAAAATTTTTATTTATTTATTTTTTTGTGTGTTCCAATAAAATACGTTAAGAATTAAAAACTCGCGAAATTTGAGAAGCTACTATACGACATTTAACCCTTCAATATGTCTTCAAAGAGACCATGACGCAGAGAAAGTGGTGCTAGTGCTTCCAGGCATAAGCACAAGTCACTATCTATCCAGGAAAAGGGTGAATTTCCATGGTCCGGCACCGGTCAGGTCCCGAGGTTGCTGGACTAGAGAGGTACAACCTGTATATCCGACATCCTCCCTCGAGGGAAGACGGAACCGTCCACGATGGCTCTCCATACCGTCTTCCTCTAGTCAAGGTTATCAAACTACTGCCTGCAATAGGTGGCACCAAGTGACGCAACTTCCCGTGGGCACACCTCATTACGTGCTGTAAACATGCTACCTCATAGCGAGTGGAAAGTTATGGGGGGTGATAGAGTATATAAGTCTAATGTAATTAACCCATTTATATAAATACTTCTGCCTATAAGACAGGGGCTAATACAAGGCTTAAAAGACGCAATTTTTATGACAAAAATATACCTCGAAAATTACCATGCGTCTTCCAGGACACTAGTCGATGAGTTGTAGCAGAGGTTTTTGAAATCAGCCCCTTACAAGGACTGTTACCTCATTACAGTACTTAACAATTACTAGTATTCTCTATACAGTACTATAAAACTATTGATTTAACTAATATTGTTAATATATTGCAAAAAAAAAAAAAAAATTGCTGCTGTGTGGTTTGTTTACTAATGGCAGTGGTGCAGCAGCGCCATCTATTGAGGAATTGCTAAAGGTTGTCTGCTTGTCTCAAATGCAGGAATGTTTGTTTCTTTATATGTAGGCTCTCATATTTTGACACCTATTTACAGTAGGCTCTCATATTTGGAGACCCATTTAGACTGTAAAAACCCCACAAAATTAAAATCTTCCAAATTTAAATAAACTTCATCATCCAAGTCAAAACACACACACAACAACATTGGCTGTCCTTATGTTTTCAACTGTATTACCACTGGTGGGTAGAATTTTTTTTTTATTCAGAAACATTAATTAAAATATATATATGAACAGTAAATACGTGTTGCTTTCATATTCTTATGTAGAGTAATGACGATATGTTTACACATGTGCTCACTTACATACACGATCTCACTTTTTTTACCCTGAATTGTTAGCTACTTCCATTGTTCCATTTATTAACATTAAATAACATTACTTAAATCAACCATATTAATTTTTCTACATTAATTTTAATACAGCTACAATGGAGGACTTATTTTCTTCAGTTTTATAATTACAGTCAATCCTCACATTACGCGGTCCCGCATTCCGCGTTTCACCGTTAACGCGGTGCTTTGCCAGAACCTAACATGCTCACATTCCGCGGTCGTGAACGCCATTACGCGGAGAGTGTCCGGCGCGACGCTATTTTTAGATTAGCCCCACGCGCCACCCACCCGCCCACCTGCCTGCCTGCCTCTCCGTCCTCCTCCCTCCTCCTCCCTCCGCTTGGGCAAGCGGCGCGGTAAGGTTGCGCAGTGTGTGTCTTTGTTGCGTTATCACTGACGTCATATGACGTATCAGACCTGTGATTGGCCATGCATCCCTACCCCCCTCTGCTGCTAGCTGTAATTGGCTTAAAGTATTATGACGTGTCCACCCGGGGGAGGGAGGGAGGGAGGAAAGACGACGCTTGACCTAGCCGCGGCAGTTTCATCCCTCCAGGCCACTCCGTGTAAACGCGCATCCATTGTTCCGTAAAATGGCTTCCGCCGGACCACCACCCCCAGAGAGAAACCTTTCCTTACCTGGACCCAGCGGCACTAAACCAAAGAAGACACGACGTTCCTTAAGCTACGAGGTGAAGTATAGCATCATCCAAGAGTTGGAGAAAGGAACAAGGCAGGTTGATTTGGCGCGCCAGCATGGCGTGAACGAATCTACGATCCGGACTATAAAGAAGGATTCAGCCAAGATAAAGGAGCACATGAAGATCACAAAGTCTACAGGTGCTTCTATGATCAAGTATTTTCACAACCAGGTGCTTCTCAAGACAGAAAAATTACTTGTGAGGTACTTGGTGCGTCAGGCGCGACGGAACATGGCGGTCGACACGCGCTCTGTGAAGGACTACGCACGTGAACTGTACATGGCAGTGGCACGAAAGATGGGAACTTCAGAGCCCAAACCCTTTACTGCTTCCTCTGGGTGGTTACAGAGGTTTAAGATCCGGAACAAGATCACCAATATAAACATTGGTGGTGAAGAAGCGAGTGCTGATCGTGCTGCGGCTCGGGAATTTCCTCCGTTTTTACGTGAGATTATGGAGGAAGGACAGTACAGTGACGACCAGGTGTTTAACATGGACGAATCTGGTCTTTTCTGGAAAAAACTACCTTCCAAGTCCTTCGTTGTGAAGAATGCCAGCAGGATTCGGGGCCGGAAAATGCAGAAGGAACGCATCACCGTCCTGTTTACCACCAATGCCTCCGGTACCTGTAAGCTCAAGTTATCGGTGATCCACACAGCCCGCAAGCCGCACGCCTACAAGAGCATGGACATGACCAAGCTAAATGTCCACTGGCTGACAGCACGTAAGGCATGGATGTTCTCTACACTGTCCCTCTCCTGGTTTGATGACTGTTTTGTTCCCGATGTAAAGAAATTCTGTGAGCAACAGAATGTCCCATTTAATATTTTGTTGCTGCTGGACAACGCACCAGGACACTCGCCCCTACTGTTAGATCGTCACCCCAACGTAAAAGTGGTCTTCCTTCCTCCCAACACTACGTCTTTAATCCAGCCCATGGACCAGGAGTTGATTTGCAATGTGAAAGCTGCATTCTCAACAAAAAAATTCCAGCTCCTGAACGACTACACCAACACCAGGGAAGAGTTGCGTGACCTGAGTGACACCACCACCGATAGCAAGAGCGACGAAGATGAGGAACAACGGTTAGAACAGCAAAAAATACTCTTCAAACAATTCTGGAGAGTATTTAACATCAAGAAAGCTGTGGACATCTTGGTGGAGTCATGGGATCAGCTGTCTATTGCTACAATTCGTCACGCATGGAGACATGTGTTGCATGGAATACCAGGTGAGAGGAGGAGTCAATCTGTGACTGGTGAGGTTCAGAATGTTGCAGTAGCAGTGGACCTTGCCAGAGAAGCTGCGCAGACTGTTACAGTTCCAGGCTTCTCCGAGACCACCAACGACGACATCCTGGAGGTGATCAGAAATCCTGAAGTGACTGCCGACGAGATGTTGGAAGAAGAACACGTCAGTGAAGAGGAGGAAGAAGGTGCGGCAGTCTCCGAAGAACACAATTTAAGTCATAGTGATATTAAGGGTGCCATGGAGTGTGCAGAGAAGATGAAGTCCTTCCTTTCCCGCGACAATGACGATGACCGCTATGAAGTCTTCCATAACCGGCTGGTGCAGGCTATGGAGCCGTACATCAAGGTGTATCACGACAACATCAACGCCAGCCGTCAGCAAAGCATAACAGATTTCTTCACCCGCAACCCACCACAGCCAGCCCAAGCCAGTGATAGTGACAGTGAAGTTGACTTTGAGGGATTTGTCAGGGAAGCCCTGACAACTGTAAGTGACAGTGATGATGATTCACCTAGTAATGGTGATTCACCTGAGGACCAGTAATCTGCCCTCTGCCTCGGAACCAGCCTCCATCCCCGTATGCCGACCCATCTCTTCTACTACCGTAAGTGTTCCACATAATTTTTAGTTTTCTAACCTTACCTTTATTTTTCCTATGTTAACCTTTATCTTTCCTAACCTAACCTCTTCTATATTACTTGTTTTTTCATACCATCATAAAGTTAAGATAAAATTTTTACTGCAACATAGTTATGTGTCGTCAAAAAGTGGAGTTTGGGGATCGGCCTGGACTCCATTTCAATTAATCCCATATGTTATGTTGTTCACTTTACGCGTTCCTCACTTTCCGCGGTACCCTCCGGGTTACATTAACCGCGTAATGCGAGACCCAACTGTATGTAGAACCAATCAGTCACTGGTTTTGCAAAAAATGAGTTGTTTTTACTTTTATTTTGTTTTTAAATAAAGATTTTTTGTTTTATATAGACGTTGATATACATGTTTACATTTGCTTACCTTCTACTGTTGGAAAATATTTCCCGTCGTTGTCATAACGACAAAAACGAGAGAAAGAATGTAAACACTACAGCCCCTAAGATGTGGAGGTGACCAGGTGTATAAAATGAGTGCTCTATTAATGATTTCACCTTCTTATACAGATTTTTTTTTTAATTGATGAAAATGACGACTGATAAGCAGTTCTAAGTGATGATATTCAAAGAGGTGTGTGTACTTGTGCCAAAAGGGCTGTATAATTATCAAGCAATGGTTTCACTGGTGTCGGTAGTCCGGAGGTACCGGGTACTACTGCTTGGGAAGATATTGGTAGACCCTGCTGCCATATGGCATCACAAAAATTGTGACCAAGTCCCAGGTTGCTGATCTGACTTTCTGCCACATTTACACACAATTGCAGGGTCTCAATTGTTTCTCTTACTTTGACAACACAACATACATGTATTGTTTCTCACTCTTGATTTTTTTTTCATTTTTGTATTTCTTTATGGTTCTTTATTATTATTATTATTATTATTATTATTATTATTATTATTATTAATAATTACATTTTTGCCCCCTAGGCCCCATTGTGGGTCAGTGACATGTGCCCAGGTGGGCTAATAGCCACAAAAAAAAAATTAGAATTTCATCTCCAGCGTCTTCCAAGCCGAAAAATACGGTAGTTGATAAACTCAGCCTCCAACTGCCTGGGCAAGCTGATGTGCCGAGTTGAGGAAAGACAACCAGTGGGGTGCACCTTCCCACAACAGTACATTTGCATCATCAACATTACCATTTTACAGCCATTTTCCTTAATTGCAATGAGTGAAGAAGGCAGTAAGGGAATGAATTAGTACCTTTTTTTTATGGTAGAATTTGAAAATGGATGGAGAACTGTGGAGGTAAACTTAAGTGATAAAGTTTTGCAGAACCAACAAATATATTTTTGTGTTTTACAGGGAAGATGACTTGCCATCCTGGTGTGATGCACGGGGGTGGGTGGGTGGTGCCGATGGCTTACCTCATAAACAACAATCTCATCCGTCAGTACGACTGTAACTCGGTCAGAGCCGCATCAGAATATTTTCAGAAGTCATGCGCACCGGGTGCACTCAACAGCTATTACCGCCACGACATGACTCGCCTCAACCTGTGTCACCTGTGTCATGGCACTGGCAGTGGTTATTGTGCCAGAGACCACAGTGAACCTTACTATGGCTTTACTGGTAAGTGGTGATCTGTGTACAGTGCAGTCACTTCAGTACTGTAGTTCACTTGGTTGTCAATGTTTCATAATAGATTATTTCTGATCATTTCTGGAAATCAGTAAATCAATCTGCAGGTCCAAAGGGCTGCCCAGGCCCAAAACTAATGTGGTTGGGTAAGGGGGAGGGATCAGGGTAACTAAGCCTACTGGAAGTTCCTAGATTCTAGCTTTTTTAGCATGATTAGTTGATTTACTTTTACATCTGTAAATTGCTGCTGTTACCCGTTGTTTAATGATATGGCCAACAATTAAACAACCTATCTAGTGAGAGCTTTGATCCTTCATGCAGTTTGTAATCAGATCATTACTAACAACCGTGAACGCCTATAATTTTTTGATAAAAAAAAAGCCGTAAGTCTTCTGTGAGTACACTCGGCCTACTGTAACTTTTGTTTGTAAGAAATGTGCCCTCCCTTACCCTCACCTCCCTTCCATCTTACCTTTCTATAATAACAAACACTATATTATTTGTACTTGTTCTCCGTCAAGTGTGAGACCAAAATAAGGATCAGCTTCATACACAGTAAAGCATTGGCTTGTTTCCAGCTTTATTGCTCCATCAGTATACAACTGACTGTATTGTTGTTTTTCAAGTGACTCACCATCATATTATTAAAAATGAATAAGGGACACGAAGATAACAAATTGTTTTTATGGAATACAAAATTATGTATCGATTGTTAATTTCCTATTGACAATACTGTACTGTATGTGGAAGTTATATGCTGAGGGTAAATGTTACAGGATATCTTATTATATATGCATTACCAGGTGCTTTTAGATGCCTCGTAGAAGGAGGCGGAGATGTTGCATTTGTGAAGCATACCACCGTACGTGAGAATGTGGACGGAAAGCGCAAGGAGTGGTGGGCTCGTAACCAGCTAACCTCGGACTACCAACTTGTGTGTCGAGATGGTAGGTATTTTTTGTTTTATGCTGAGGAAGTAAAAAAAGAATATTAATGAATGGACAGTTATGATAACAAATTATATACAGTACATGTACAGTACAATATGTGATTTCAAAACAATAATGTAACTTTACTCAGTATGTACTGTACAGTATTGTGATCATTGTTCATGGGCTGCCGACATCCAGTACTGTACACTCTCAATTTAACGAAATCCGATATAATGAATTCTCGATATAGCAGGAGGAATTTTTTCCGTTAATTTTCACTCGATTTAGTGAACTATAGATTAATTCCGTTAATATGCTCACACCTACGCAGACACCTCAGACACGTGATATCTACATAGAAACATTACAAACATCATTCATGGCTTACTTTGAATTAGGGGGTTCGGTGATTTAAAAATTTTTCTTTAAGTTTCAAACTTTTTCCATTAATAACTGCACTCTTTTGATGTTCTCCCCCATGCCACTTCCTTTCTTAGTCTTCTGAGAGACTTTCTGCTTGATATCTAAGTACAGTAGTTAGTTGACCAAGAGGTAGCAGTGAACAACACATGCTGTGGCAGCAGGACACAGACTGAGCACGTGTAAATAAACCCCCTGTGCCAAGTGGCGCCGAATTTAACAGAATCATGCTTGATTTAGCGAACTAATTTGCTAAATTGAGCGAAAATTATGGAAATTTCGGTTTTACAGAAAAGGTTGGCTCGAATTAGTTCATTAAATCGAGAAAATACTGTACAGTACATGTGTTGTATTGTGTTATATCCCTGTAACAAGTTGTGTTAGAATGTACTGTACCGTGAAGGCAAGCCAATATCTACATCATTCAAGAGGTTTGTACAGTACAATAATTCGTTTGATGAAGAGTCAAATGTAAGATACAGTACAGTACTAGATCTGTACTGTACTGTATAGTGTTGTGACAAAGGGTGACCTCTGTCACTGTAGGTCTCCCATATAGTTATAATGCGTAACACCTTTTGTTATTGTAGTTAAATGTAAGGAAAGTTTTTAATTTTTATTTTATTTTTATTAATACAGGTACACCACCGATTTTCCATCACCCTTGGTTCCAAAGCCTTGCTGGATTATCCGTTTTGCCAGACCAACCGAGGTCATGTAACAATAATTAAACAAGACGCCTCTGACCCACTAATTATATATCTCCCGTGTCTCAAAAGCACAGTGGACTGTGAAAAAGCCATAATTTTGAGCAACATTACTGTACACACTTTGTACTCAAATTTACTACTGTATACTAAAGAACAAAATTTTTTATCTCTTGTGCAATGTGATGTTTATACTCAAATCAATCACTATCTTGCAAGGATTCCAGTAATACAAGTAATATTCTGCTAAATTTAGTCTTGCGATACTTTATAAGATCAAAACTTTAAGCCTAAAACTACCTTCACCCTGGCTGGGGGGAGGGGGAGGTGAGGTGTTGACAGCCGGCGAGGAGATAACAAAGTGCGTGGTTATTAGTCAAATAGACAGAGTTTAAGGATTGCGCATATAAAATGTCATTGAATTCACATAGCAGAATGTAACTTACATTGCTTGAATTATTGAAAGATAGTGAATAATTTAAGTACAAACATCCCATAATTTGCACTAGACAATTTTTTTTTTAATTAACATAGTACATTTGAGTGCAGGTTTGTCCTTTGGAAAATTATTTCTTTTACCTTTTTTCCACAATGTGTATTTCGGATGGTGTGTGCATGTAAATAAGTAAAAATAAATGAAGAAAGTTACATATATCTACCCGAAAATACGAGTTGAAAAACAACCATAACACCTCACAGCTTGGCCCAGTAGCCTTGTGGTTGCAGTGACGAGTGTAACCTAGCTACAATGCCACGATTAATCACTGTTAAGCATTATTATATCAGTAAACACTAATAATAACAGTAAATCCAGTGAAGACGACACTCAACTAGCAATCACTTGACGAACTATTACCATACGTATCACACAGCTTCCGCGCGGAAGCACTTTGGTCCATTTTTTCAGCAGTTTTACCTTATCTTGTGTCGATATGGACTGGTGTTTATGCTTGACACTTGCACATTTCTTAGAAACCATACCTAGCTTTACATGTAAGAAAAATTAGTTAAGAATTGCACAAAATCGAGTTAATGCCACCAACAACTGCAGTGTAAACATAAGTGAGCACACATCGCCATCTGTGGCCGCCCAGTAAACTAGTCTGGCAGTTGCGGGAATTTCAAGTGCACACTTGTTATTTTGTCCAGACTAAAGGAGGTGCCGGACCATCAGTTCTGGAAAATTGGTCGTGTACAGTAGTACCCCGATTTATGCGGTCAATTGAACCCACAGGGTACCGCGGAAAGTGAAAACCGTGTAAAGTAAACAACAGAACATATGGGATTAACTCCAATAGAGACTGGCCTGACCCCCAAACTCCACTTTTTCCGACAATACCTATGTTGTAGTAAAAATAACATCTTAATTTTATGATGGTATGCACACAATTAATATTTAAGAGAAATGCAGTCGCCAGGTTAATGTCCATTCAAATAATGGACTTAACTCCCCCCTCTTCCCAGCTCACTGGCTCCTACCTCTCTGAGAAATGTTTGGGTGAAAACACTAGATTTTAACATATAGTAATGAGTAATACCTCAGACTAAAGTTAGGATAATATAATTGACATTTCTGGATTCCTTGCAGTTCAGGGAATATTTTGAATGTAAACTTCATATGTTTTGCACAAAAGATAAAATATTTGCTTTGTGTAAACCAAATTATTACATTAGATCTAAAATTTGTACAGTGAGTTCTGCTATAACGCGTGTTTTGATAACGCGAATTTGCTCTAACGCGATTTATGAATTCGGAACAATATTTGTATAACGCGAACGCTTGTTTGCTATAACGCGATTTTTGCTTACTATTTCTCCAATTTTGTGGTATTAACTGTGAATATGGTAAAGAAAAATATCTCCAAAAAGCATTCTGATGATAGAATTCCCGGTGATTATCGTAAAAGAAAGGATATAACACTTGAAGAGAAGCTCGATGTTATCAACCTCAAAATCACCCTTCTCCCCCATCAAGTTACATTCATATTTTTTCAAGGTAAAGTGTTAAATTTACTGTATGATTTCATTATTAGATATGAATGTAACATTTATTTAGACTGTGCTATCCTTTGTGTTAGGCTAACTACTAAATTTTTTCGATTTCGAGTAATCTGCACCTAACCCTATTTTCTCCATAAGCCCTGTTATTTCTATTACGCGATTTTCTATAACACGATATTTTACAAGAACACAATTATCGCGTTATAGCAGAACTACCTGTATGCCTAATGCAAAATCCATGATGTTTATATTCAAAATGATCATCATATTGTTAGAATTCCAGCAATGTAAATTATATTCTGGCCGAGTAATTTGTATGAATTTTATGAGCTAAAACAAATATCTTCAGTAAATAAACAAAGAATATTCTTCAAGGACACTATCTGTCAATCAAAATACCCCACCTCCGCCCTAGCTGGGTCGGTCCCTCCCTCCCTCCCTACCCCCCACCTTCTCCCCCCTGCCAGAGAAATGTTTGGGAGAAAATAGTATATTTAAAATTTTATTAATAAATAATAACTCAGACTAAAGTTAGGATAATATAATTGACATTTCTGGTTTCCTTGCGGGTCAGGGAATATTTTGAATGTAAACTTCATATATTTTGCACAAACGATAAAATTATTACATTAGATCTAAAATTTGTATGATGTTTATATTCAAAATGATCATCATATTGTAAGAATTCCAGCAATGTAAATTATATTCTGGCTGGGTAATTTGTATGAATTTTATGAGCTAAATAAAAAAATTATACTTCACCCGTGTATATGAGTAGATGCACCGTGGAAAGTGAATGTCCGGTTCTGGCGAGGTACCCCGTAAATGAGAAATCGTGGAAAGTGAAACCAACCTTTACGGGTAATACTGTACCTGTATTTGGTTTACATAATAGCATATTTTTTTTTTCATTCCTGTTATTTGGCAGTGCAGTAAATTACTGTATCTGTCAGCCCAAAATACACTTTATGAAACAATCTAAAGTATTGTAAATAGCTCTGACCTTTAAGAATGTAGAATATTTTTCTTCTATTTAATTTTCCACATTTAGTATTGTATTACATGAGAGGAGTTGAGGCAACTGGCTTAGTGTCTGTCTGGTGGTGTGAGTCTACTTGTCTTTTCTTTAGTTTGAGGATCAGTTTATATGGTGATTGATGACTCATTGAAAGCTTATATGGGGACATAATAACATTGATAGTGTTAGTGAATAATAATGTAAATTAGTGTACAGTAGGTCGGGATATATAGCCACATTATTTAAAAAAAAAATTTATATTGCGGCTAACAAAATTGTCAACATTTTCCTATACAGTCATGCGCCGGTTAACGTCCTAGATACGTTCTTGGAAAACGTGATGTTAACCGAAATGGACGTTGTCCGATCATCACATAAACTTTTTATTTATACTTAAGTGTATGTGGAATACTATATAGGTACATATACACTTTTACTCTTAAATCTTTACTGTAACGTGATACAGGTGATTAGTTTTATCTCTTGTGCAAACTATATGACGTTTATATTAAAATTATTCACTGTTTTACAAGGATTCCAGCAACGCCGAGCAGATGGGGGAGAGAGAGGGGGCACAGGCCCAGGTCTAACGCGTATATATTTATCAGTTCTTAGGTGACTAAGCTTCTCTCTTATAAAAAGCCAGTGAAATGACCTGGGTGAATATAATTAACATAGCTGGGATTCTTGTAACATACTGATTAATTTGAATATAAACATGCTATAATTTGCACTAGACAAAACAATTTTAGTACCATAATCAAATTAGTACATGTGCACTCCAGCTTTGCACTAAGGTCTTTTATTTCTATTTGTTTCTCTTAGTATGGTGTGTGCATGTAAATGGATGAAAATAAATGAAGAAATCTATGTAAATCTACCCAAAAATACAGTTGAAAAACTTTTTTATAAAATGTACTACAGTACTGTACACTAATGTACAACAATTTTTATCTCTTGAGCAAAATATATGACGTTTATATTCAAATTATTGGCTGTCTTGCAAGGATTCCAGCAATGCAAATTATAATCTCCTAACTTTAGTCTGAGATATTATATAAGATAAAAACTGTAAGCCTAAAAGCCTGGCTGGGGGGGGGACGCCAGCCCACCCAGCGAGGGGTTGGGGGGGTGTGGGGGGTTGAGGTGATAAGTTTGAGGCGAAGGTCTCTGTGTGTTTATTTAACAGTCCTACTAAGCTTCTCTCATTTTAAAATGCCAGTGATATGACCTAGGAGAATATAATTAACATAGCTGGGATTCTTGTAAGATACTGATTTACAGTGGTCCCTCGGTTAACGAGTACAATCCGTTCCAGCATGTTGCTCGTTAACCGAAAAACTCGTTAACCAAAACCATTGTTTCAATGGGTTTTTGGGTAATTGGTTCCAGCTCACAGAAAATTGCCTAAATTTAAAAAAAAATGTAGAAAAGTACACTTACTTTGAGGTGTGCATGTAGAAGGCTCCTGGATGATGATGATGATGATGGGAATTAAAATGGGGGTGGAGGAGAAGGGAGAAGAGAAGGCATTGGGGTGGAAGAGAAGTCACCCAATGGTGCCATTTCACCCATAAAATTTTAGTTCTCTTGGTGTAATTCAAGATTATTTTCTTTAAATCAACACTGCACTGCATTATATATTGTCAATATGTAAAATAAATTTAAAAAATGACCAATAATTTGCTTGGAAACACAGAAAAAAAGCATTTAGTTGAAGAGAGTCTCAAGCAAGATGTTACCTCCACTGAAGAGAGAGAGACTAACTCCTGTTTGTGTGTTAACAGGCTGGATGGCGTGCCAGAAACTAGTTTCTTTACCTTCAATTATGTTCAATAATTGTTAAAATGACTAAAAAATATTAATATTAAACTTAAAATTATTGAATCGTATAAACTTCTTGATATTTACTAAAATAGTAAGGAATTTAAGCCCTAAAACCGATTACTGTATTGGCGGACTAATACTACAGCTGGTGGACCGCCAAATGCAAGCGAAAACATGTTGAGGTCGGCTTGTAAAAAACTCGTTAATCGAGGGATTGCTCGTTAACCAAAGTTTAGATTCTTATGGAAGGTAACTCATTAACCGAGGCGCTCGTTAACCGAGGGATCACTGTATTTGAATATAAACATGTTGTAATTCGCACTAGACATAACAATTTTAGTACCGTAATCAAATTAGTACATGTGCACTCCAGCTTTGCACTAAGGTCATTTATTTCTTTTAGTATGGTATGTGCATATAAATGGATGAAAATAAATGAAGAAATTTATGTAAATCTACCCAAAAATACAATTGAAAAACTTTTTATAAAATGTACTATAGTATTGTACACTAATGTACTACATTTTTTATATCTTGAGCACAATATATGACGCTTATATTCAAATTAATCTCTGTCTTGCAAGGATTTCAGCAATGCAAATAAACATAAAGAAATCACCAGGGTGGGAAGAGGGGGCGGGAGGTGAGGTGACAGAATGTCTGGCGATTGTTTGTTTATTTATTTGAGATAAGATTTGACAGTTGGCGCTGAAGGCCTGCCTGCGTGTTTATTTATCATTACTTAAGAGTGACTAAGCTTTTCTCAAAATTTGCCACCCAAACAAACTGGGTGAATATAACTTACATTGGAGGGATTCTTGTAAGATAGTAATTTATTTGAATACCTGTATAAACAAGCTATATTTGCAATAGACATAACAATTTTAGTACCGTAATCATTTAGTACATGTACAATACAGGTTTGCACTTAGGTCCATTGTTACTGTACAATATTGACTAAATTCACTAGATAACGTACGCCTGGCCGCACAATCTATAAGAATACGCGATGTATAAGTGACTGTGCCCGCTCTAGGTTCATTTAGGTTCACTGGTCCCATTATTTGAATTTTTTTTTTTTTTCAATTTAAATTTTAATTGTTTATTCCTTGATAGAGGAAGTGGGATCCTAGTGCTGTCACTTGGTACTCCTGTACCATCACACCAGAAGCAACTGGCCAGTGTCACAAGTATATACAGTACAGTACAGTCATCCCTTGGTTATTGCGCCTAATTGGGACCCCGCCAATAACGAAAGTACAGAACCTATGGGATTTATTCTAATTGGTTCAGGCACCCAAGACCCAACCCCAAGTTTCCCATTTTACGACCATTTAGACCCACTAAATATATATATAATGTTATGGTAAATATCATAAACACACATAGGCATGGCTAGGTTTATTACAAAGTGATGAAAAGGGTACGCTTAATACTGTAGTCCACAAAACATGTAGCTATGCTTTTTTTATTTGGTCCCCCATCATACGAGTCCATTTTCTCTCACCTCAGGACGCCTGAGTCCTCCGTATTCTCTCTTAATCTTAGAGTGCACCAGAAACTTTACTATTTTTAGAAATGCCACAGAATTTGAAATTGCAACCCCAATTGCAACTGGGGTTGCAATTGTTGAGGCAACTAGATATGTCTGATTAAAGCAAATGTGTTATTGTCAATTTGTAGGTGAAAGATTTTATCCTCAATAGATGTAGGTTAACATTTCACCTATAGGCAAATGCTTAAAAAAGTCTTAAGTAAGGAAGCATATTCCTTTAACACATAATATCTGACCAGTATGGGGAGGATCATGTTGTCTCCGTCAGGGGGTCGTGGAGTGGTGGTCCAGCAGGCATCACGTATTTTTTATTTTTTTTTTTTTTTGGTGTGTGTTTTGTGTTTGGGGGAGGGGCACGGACTTTGTTCGGTCGGACGTTAACCGGCGCATGACTGTATATAGAGATAATGTTTTTTATTTCGTGAGGGAAATCGGGCAGAAAACATTTCAAATTTATCACGACTACCAAAATTATCGACATTTTCCAATATATAGCGATAAATTTATTTACAGTAGACACAACTTACGTGGAGTTATGTTCCTGGGAACTCACATAAAGCCAAAAACCGTATAAAGTTAGAAACACTCGTAAAAATATCCTGAATAGCCTAAAAAATATGAGTTAAAAACTGTACAGTACAGGTACTTAAATGTACAGGTACGGTACTCTAAAAGACTAAAAATTTTATCTCTTGTGCAAAATATATGATGTCTATATTCAAATTATTTGCTGTCTTGCAAGGATTCCACCAATGCAGTTTATGTTCTGCTAACTTTAGACTGTGCCATTTTATGTCAATTTAGTCACTATTATTGGACTCCAGAACCTAACCCTATTTCCCCCATTGATTACATGTAAATATATATAGCAATTTAGTATATAGCGAACATCCTTGGACCCTATCTGGCAATATATCCCAACCCAACTGTACAGGTATTTGCAGAAACTAATAATTTAACCGCAGTGACAAGTACAGTACAGTCAGTTCTGCTATAACTCGACAGTTGTGTTCTTGTAAAACCTCGCATTGTAGAAATTCACGCAATGGAAATAACAGGGCTTATGGAGAAAATAGGGTTAGGTGCAGATTACTCAAAATCGAAAAAAAATTTGTAGTTAGCCTAACACAAAGGATAGCACAGTCTAAATAAATGTTACATTCATATCAAATAATGAAATCATACAGTAAATGTAACAATTTACCTTGAAAAAATATGAATATAACTTGGTGGGGGAGAAGGGTGATTTTGAGGATAACATCAATCTCTTCTTCAAGTGTTATTGCCTTTCTTTTATGATCACCACCGGGAATGCGATCACCAGAACGCTTCTTGGAGATATTCTTCTTTTCCATATTCACAGTTAATACCACAAAATTGGAGAAATAGTAAGCAAAAATCACTGAGGACGCTTCAAAACAACCCACGTGTTTAAACTGATCGTGTGATGTAAACAGAGAACGCGGGTGTAAAACGATATTAGTCCGCACTGCGAAACATTATTTTTATTTATTTTTTCATACAGTATTTATGGGAACAGCTAAATTTGCAAAAAAAAAAAAGGATGAAATTTATAGTCCCTATCAAATAACACTTCACAAACAAAACACATGAATCAATTGAACATGTGATGTCGAACGTGAACTGTAAACACTGCATAACCTCACTCCAAGCGACAGTACTGTACAGGTACACTTAAAACGTTCGAGTGGAATCGCTTTACAGCCATCATGCGTTAGCGTTTTACAAATATCGTTCTTGTATTCATCAATCGCGTTACAGGCAATTCGCGTTGACAAAACACGCATTATAGCAGAACTGACTATACAGTGATATCTTTGTTAGCCGGAACAATTGGTGCAGAGCACTTCCGGGAATGAGAGATCTCTCATTCCCGGGTAATGAGACGACACTCTTAAACCCATAAAAATAAATCTCTCATCCTCGGAATTTTCCGGGTAGGAGAAATTTTTTCTCGGAATTTCCAGAAAATGTGCCTGATTTTCATCCCTCAAACCCGGAAAAAAAACCTCCCCCATTCCTGGAATATTCCGGGTATCGTAAAAATTTTCTCTGAATTTTCCAGAAAATGTTCCCCTCGGACAATTGTTCACAGAGCCGTAATTTTCCGGAAAATTACGTATTTGGGAACGATTTTCCGAGAAAATTTCAATTCTGGCTATCGGAGAGTTCCGGGTTTGAGGGATTCCGGCCGAGATATTACTATACAGAACTGTTCCTCTCTCTCTGGACACATATTAATAATTATAGCCACTTTACATGTTTGCTGTATCAATTTTACAGAAACTTCTTGGAGCCCAAATTTTTTATTGACAGATACTTTACTATATTCCCCAAAGTTTGCATGTGGATGAATCTGGAATACTCTTCAACATTATATAATTTAAAATTAATACATTTTTGGTTTGTGTCTACACCAGGTACTCGGGCTCCTGTGACAGACTATGAGGACTGTAATCTAGGCACAGTTCGTTCTAACGCTGTGGTGACACGCGGTGGCTCTCTCTACAACAAAACTGAGGTGGATACTTTCACTAACCTCTTCCAGTACGCCCAGCAACATTTTGGCCGTGATTCTGACGACGAGTGGAAGTAAGTGCGGCGTTGAATTCTGCAACATACAATAGAAATACGGCGATATCCCCGTTAGCCAGAACGGTCGGTGCAGAGCAATTCCGGGGACGAGAGATTTCCGGCTGACCGATCGACTTTATCAAACCCGGAAAAATTCCTTTTCCTCGGAATCTTTTCTCATTACTGGTAAAAGTTTCCGAGTGTCTAAACTAGGTATCTTGTACTGATGGACACTAGCCCATTTACCCAGAATGTGTCTGAGTGCTAGGGATGGTTTCCCTGGAGTCTGTAAATGCAGTTCTAATTAAGTTAGAAACTTAATTTCTTTCCTATAATAATCCAGAATAATTGATCTAAAAGTTTGGTTAAATAAATATATTTAAAAATAACAACTCAATGATATGGGCATGAATGAAACTGTGTGTTACAGCAAAGAATGTTATTTTTCACTCCCATGGAGCTGTGGGGGATTACCGGGTCTTGTGCAACTCACCTGACGTTGCAATGTCAGGTGGAGGTAGGGTGGGGTATTAGTGGTCTCACATTACTGACCTTCTGATGAAATGTCAGTTCACCCTTTCTTAGGTATGGGATAAGTGGGTCTCATGACCTGAAGATGTCTTGAATAAACACAAAACCTAAAGTATTTTCAGGGAGATTGTGATTAGTGTAAGTATAATTGAGTAAAGTTGAATCCCTTCAACATTACGTTACATAAAATTTTAAAATATTGAGTGAGAAAGAAGAAAGGTGTGGGTAATTAGAGATGTGGAGTGGAAATGAGTGTTGCCAAGCACTCCTCAACTGGTGATATTTAACTCACTACCATGCAGTCACACACACACAAATTTTTCATACAATAAGACCCTCACTCGTCATGCTTGCTGTCTTAATTCCCTTGTTGGGGGTGTGTGAGTGGTGATGGTGTGTGTGGGTGTGTTTGTGGGGAGGGTGTGTGTGGGGTTGATGGAGGGTGTGTGTGTGGGTGGTTGTTGGTGTGTGTGTGGGTGGTTGTTGGAGGGTGTGTGTGGGTGGTTGTTGGAGGGGGTGTGAGTGGTGATGGTGTGTGTGGGTGTGTTTGTGGGGAGGGTGTGTGTGGGGTTGATGGAGGGTGTGTGTGTGGGTGGTTGTTGGAGTGTGTGTGGGTGGTTGTTGGAGGGTGTGTGTGGGTGGTGTGGAGTGTGGTGGTGATGGTGTGTGTGGGTGTGTTTGTGGGGAGGGTGTGTGTGGGGTTGATGGAGGTGTGTGTGTGGGTGGTTGTTGGAGTGTGTGGGTGGTTGTTGGAGGGTGTGTGTGGGTGGTTGTTGGAGGGGTGTGAGTGGTGATGGTGTGTGTGGGTGTGTTTGTGGGGAGGGTGTGTGTGGGGTTGATGGAGGGTGTGTGTGTGGGTGGTTGTTGGAGTGTGTGTGGGTGGTTGTTGGAGTGTGTGTGGGTGGTTGTTGGAGGGTGTGTGTGGGTGGTTGTTAGAGGGTGTGTGTGTGTTTGTGTGGGCGACATGATAGAGGTGTATAAATGGAAGTCAGGGCTGAACAAAGGGAACATTACAAATGTACTCAGACTATCCAACCAGGAGGGTTCAGAAAAAATCTAGTACAAGTAAACGATTATCTTGCTGTACTCGAGTTCAAGAACATCATAATGTACTTGATGTAGGTACAAATACTTTCATTGTTATTTTGGTTGTATATGTTAATGGTAACAGTTTCAAAATACTTCCTCCTAAAATGTGGGGTTAATCTTGTATGGTGTTTTTTATATCATTAATTATTGTATTTATACATATAGTAAATTCACTGTCGGCCGAAGTAAGTTTTACTGTATCATGCATCTGTGGTGCCTCCGTAGGTGTGAGATTATTATCGGAATTAATCTCGTTTTAGTGAGCTAGCTCACCATATCTAGCCAAAAATAACGTAAAAAATTCCTTCCTTTAAATCGAGAGTTCGTTATACCGGATTACAGTGACCCCTCGTTTAACGAACACCTCGGTTAACGTAATTTCGATTAACGAACTGCCTTCCATAAGGATCTTCAATTCGGTTAACGAAAAAAAATTCGGTTAACGAAGTTCTTATGAACCGACCTCAACATGTTTTCGCTTGCACTGACCGGGCAACCAGCTTTAGTATCAGTCCGCCAATACATTAATCGGTTCTAGGGCTTAAATTCCTTACTATTTTAGTAAATATCAAGAAGTTTATACTATTCAATAATTTAAAAGTTTAATATTCAATTTTTTAGCCATTTTAACAATTATTGAACATAATTGAAGGTAAAGTTGACTAGTTTAAAGCACGGCATCCAGCCTCTTAACACAGCAAACAGGAGTTAATCTCTCTCTGTTTTCACTGGAGGTAACATCTTGCTTGAGACTCTCTTCAACTAAATGTTTTTTTTCTGTGTTTCCAAGCAAATTATTGGTCATTTTGAAATATATTTTACATATTGACAATATATAATGCAGTGCAGTGTTGATTTAAAGAAAATAATCTTGAATTACACCAAGAGAGCTAAAATTTTATGGGTGAAATGGTGCCATGGGGTGACTTCTCTTCCACCCCAATGCCTTCTCTTCTTCCTTCTCCTTCACCCCCATTCTAAATCCCATCATCATCATCATCATCATCCAGGAGCCTTCTACATACACACCTCAAAGTAAGTGAAATTTTCTACCATTTTTGTTGAATTTAGGAAATTTTCGGTGAGCTGGAACCAATTACCCAAAAACCCATTGAAACAATGGTTTTGGTTAACGAACTTTTCGGTTAACGAACGACCTTCTGGAACGGATTGAGTTCGTTAACGGAGGGGTCACTGTATATTAAATCTAGAGTACCGGTATGCTGTCTCATTTTTGGGGCTTTCAGTAATGAAGAGGCATCACTGCATAATACAGTCAAGAAAAATGGTAGAAATTTGGGATAACCCCTGATACACTACATTTTCTGTTGTAAGTCTGTTCCTACATTATTAGGAAGGTTTATGTCATAATCCTCAGACTCCAGTGTTTGTATTTTTTTAATGTTTAATTTTCCGTTTCAGCTTCAAGATGTTTCATTCAGATGAACCATTTGCTGATCTCATATTCCAGGTATGTGTCTTGTGTGTGCTTGTTACCTATCTTCTTTATCAGGTGTTTTGAAGGTGTGTTTATTGTTGGCCTTGTGGGTAATAATTACTGCTCATACAAGAGTAAATCATTTCTCAGAAAATTACAAGGATCACATTAATTCAGTTGCCATATGTTTTTATCTTTAAATTTTGATATCATGCTTTGTTTTGATGTGGCATTACATATGTCTTATGTATTGTTATTTCTCTCTTTCCCAGGATGCCACACAACAGCTGGTGCCACTGCCTGAAGAGGAACAACACTATCATCCATATTTAGGTAAATATTTTCTTGGACACATTAGGGATGTCTTGCTTTGTATAACTTAGTCACTAAAGGGTCGAGCAGAGTCAAGCTGTGGTTTGATCCTCTTAAGCTGATGAGTAGAGTGATGTGGTTTGAACCTCTAGGCTGCTGAGTTTTGTGGTTTCATCCAAGGTTGTTGAGGTGATCAACATACTTTACTGTGGTGTAATTGTTGAATTGTTATGGTGAATAAAGTGCTGTGGTTTATTTAAGATAGATTATCATAAGACATGGAGATGGCTTTCAACTTTGCGAAGTTAATGACAAGAAAATTTGTTCAGTAGTTACTAGGAATCATAATAAGTTATAGAATAGACAAATTCTGAAGAAAATTAATACTTACAAGGCTAAGACCCCCATGCTGGGAGGTACAGTATTGTCAGCCATGTTGGTATCTATAAAATTGTCAAATTATGATGTGTGGGTGACTCGGCATTATGAACTATATATTCCAGAATATCATAGAGTCAACCTCTTGCAAGGTTTTTAGGACTTGTTGATATCCTTTGCCATAGGTCACCTGGTCCTGGACTCATGGAGGAGTTTGTGGTCAATAATCCAAAAATTTTCTCTATTGAAGCTGTTTTCCTATGACTTACTCTGGTATCAGAAAGAAGTGCCTCTGAGGTTCAGGCTTTTTGGAGAAACAAGGGAGTTTTCTTATGTTCACCATCTTGAATGGGCAATTTTTCAACCAAGTTTGATGTCTTTATATATATACAGTAGTACCCCGATTTACTCGGTCAATTGAACCCACAGGGTACCGCGTTAAGTGAAATCCGCGAAAATGGAACAACAGAACATATGGGATTAATTCCAATAGAGACTGGCCCGACCCCCAAACTCCACTTTTTCCGACACAATACCTATGTTGTAGTAAAAATAACATCTAAATTTTATGATGGTATGCTCACACAATTAATATTTAAGAGAAATACAGTCGCCAGGTTAATGTCCATTCAAATAATAGACTCATCCCCCCCCCCCTCTCCCCAGCTCACTGGCCCCTACCTCTCTGAGAAATGATTGGGTGAAACACTAGATTTTAACGTTTAGTAATAATTAATACCTCATACTAAAGTTAGGATAATATAATTGACATTTCTGGATTCCTTGCAGGTCAGGGAATATTTTGAATGTAAACTTCATATATTTTGCACAAAAGATAAAATACTTGCTTTGTGTAAACCAAATTATTACATTAGATCTAAAATTTGTATGTCTAATGCAAAATCCATGATGTTTATATTCAAAATGATCATCATATTGTAAGAATTCCAGCAATGTAAATTATATTCTGGTCCAGTAATTTGTATGAATTTTATGAGCTAAAACAAATATCTTCAGTTAATAAAAAAAAAAATATTCTTCACACCGTGCCAGATGGTCGGTCGGTCCCTCCCTCCCCCCCACCAACCCTCCCTACCAGATAAATGTGTGGGAAAACCAGAATATTTACCTTTTTAGTAATAAATAATACCTCAGACTAAAGTTAGGATAATATAATTGACTTTGCTGGATTCCTTGTAAGACCAGGAATATTTTGAATATAAATGTCATATATTTTGCACAAAAGATAACATATTTACTCAGAGTAAACATTACATCTAAAATTTGTATGTCTAATGCAAAATCTATGATGTTTATATTCAAAATGATCATCAAATTGTAAGAATTCCAGCAATGTAAATTATATTCTGGCCGGGTAATTTGTATGAATTTTATGAGCTAAAACAAATATCTTCAGTTAATAAAAAAAAATATTCTTCACGACACTATCTGTCAATCAAAGTACACCACCTTGCCTTCCCCCCCTCTTCCAACCGCGTGGTCAGTCCCAACCCTCCCCCCACCCCCCACCAATCCTCCATTCAAGAGTTTTTAACATTTAGTATTAAATAATACCTCAGATTAAAGTTAGGATAATATAATTGACATTGCTGGATTCCTTGTAAGACCAGGAATATTTTGAATACAAATGTCATATATTTTGCACAAAAAATAACATATTTACTCAGAGTGAACATTATATCTAAAATTTGTATGTCTAATGCAAATCTATGATGTTTATATTCAAAATGATCATCATATTGTAAGAATTCCAACAATGTAAATTATATTCTGGCCGGGTAATTTGTATGAATTTTATGAGCTAAAACAGGCAGTCAGGCAGGGTGGCGGGTGGGGCAAATCTAAAAATAGCTCTCGAGCCGGACACTCACCGCCTATACGTGGAAAAAACCCGCGTTAAGTGAAAGTTCAGCTCTGGCGAGGCATGGCAGCTAAGCGAATGTATAATATATATATATACTGTGGGTATCTTCTATGACGTATTGGTTCCAGAACCTAGATTGGTATGATTAGATTAGATATAAGTTAATCGTTCCACCAAATACAACCATAACACTGAAAAATTCTGTGGAAAATGTAAAAAATACGGTACTTTATCTTACCTTAGTGTTATTCAGCATGCAGGTACCCTAAACACTGGCACATCACTATCACTTCCACTGGAGTCTTGGCTTTAAGGTCCTCAAACAATTGTTTCGCTTCTCACAAATTATAGCTTCACTAATGTACCACCTGCCATTTCTTTCTCCTTTATCCACACTAGAGTAAATTTTCCATCTCTTCAATCACATTACACTTTGCTTTGCTAAGTCTAAAAAATCCCTTAGCCACTTGCAGTTTTTAACTCCTCTTTATTCTTCAAATCGGACATATAGTCGATTTAGCCATCCATATTCATCACTAAGTTTGCAATCTTCTTCCATTCTCACGGTTTCTTTACAATTTCTTTCTTAGTTTCCAAGGGTTATTAGCTTTCTCACTGCTTTGAATGACTCATTGTTACAATTGTATACTTGTATAACAAAATAGTTATACAAATAACAGCAATTTCCACATCAAGACAAATTTCAACAATAACAGTGGTGCACTGGCTACTGATACAAAATGGCGCTGATGCTCTTGTTGTGGATTGCGGTACAACAATATTCATAGCCAGGCGAAATAGTCCCGTGTAATCATGCGTTAGTTGTGAGTTAAGTTAGTTATAGCATTCTCAATTTTATAGGTAAAACCGTTAGATTATAGGAATATTAGTAGTAGGATCCGTTAGTTTATAATATACCTGTATATATATGTATGTATGTAATATGTATGTATGTATGTATGTATGTATATATGTATATATATATATATATATATATATATATATATATATATATATATATATATATATATATATATATATATATATATATATATATATATATATATATATATATATATATATATATATATATATATATATATATATATATATATATATATATATATATATATATATATATATATATATATATATATATATATATATATATATATATATATATATATATATATATATATATATATATATATATATATATATATATATATATATATATAACCTCACCAGCAGGAATCAACCCTAGCCTACTGGGTGTGACTGGGAGCAGCTTACCTGGGCCACAAGGACACTAAAAGCAGTTCTAGACTCTGTTTATTTCACAAAGCCTGTTCATCGAGCTGATGGCGCCGTGAACCTCATTAGGGAAACTGCCCGTGCTCTTATGTGTGTCAATGGTGGTCCCAATGAGGTTCAGGCGCCATCAGCTCGATGAACAGGCTTTGTGTGAAAATAAACAAGTCCAGAACTGCTTTTAGTGTCCTTGGCTAGCGATACAGCGTTCCCTAGTCACACCCAGTAGGTCGGTTAAAATCCTTGCTGGTAAGGTTGTTGATTATATGTTCAAAGTCCGCGTGTTATATGGACTAAAAATGAAGTATATATATATATATATATATATATATATATATATATATATTTCAGTAAATCACAATGAAAACGTGGAAGATAAACGATAAAATCACATGAAACAACATACCTTAGCTTCGTCTTTATTCTGAAGATGTCTGAATAAGGCAAGCTAAATATAATATATATATATATATATATATATATATATATATATATATATATATATATATATATATATATATATATATATATATATATATATATATATATATATATATATATATATATATATATATATATATATATATATATATATATATATATATATATATATATATATATATATATATATATATATATATATGGATCCCTCGTGTTTGATTTGGTAAGCAGTTGCTCTGACCACCTCATGATCCCAGGTGGTCACATTAGAGTTCACGGCGCCATAAGCTGAATTGAACAGGCTTCATGTGAAATATAACAAAAAGTCTAGGACTTCTTTTAGTATCCTGGTGGTCCATGATTAGCGTTCGATCTAATCATAAGCATGGGCGTAAGGTTGAATCCTGGCGGGTAAGTGTTGATTGTATGTAGAAATCCAGCGTGCTTTATTGGCCTAATAAAATATATATATATATATATATATATATATATATATATATATATATATATCTATATATATATATATATATATATATATATATAATATATATATATATATATATATATATATATATATATATATATATATATATATATATATATATATATATATATATTTCATTAGCTCAATAAAGCACGCGGACTTCTACATACAATCAACACCTCAACCCGCCAGGATTCGAACACACGGCCCACAAGCCTATGACTGTGACCGGGGAACGCTAACCGCTGGACCACCAGGATACTAAAAGCAGTCCTAGACTTTGTTATATTTCACACAAAGCCTTTCAACGAGCTTATGGCGCCGTGAACCTCTAATGGAGACCACCCGTATCACGTAGGTGGTGGTCCAGCGGTTAGCGTTCCCCGGTCACAGTCATAGGCTTGTGGGCCGTGGGTTCGAATCCTGGCGGGTTGAGGTGTTGATTTTATATATATATATATATATATATATATATATATATATATATATATATATATATATATATATATATATATATGTATG